TCTCTCTCTCTCTCTCTCTCTCTCTCTCTCTCTCTCTCTCTCTCTCTGTGTGTGTGTGTGTGTGTGTGTGTGTGATGTTATTTATTTCCTTGACTGACATTACCGCTGTGCGATGTGTACTGTATGTGTGCTGTGTGCGCTGAGAGAGAGAGCGATGTTAGTGCGTCAGCACATTAAATTTGTTTACGTAGTTTTTGAAACGAGAAATGGTTCGTTTTTCTAAGATCGCGTGTGACTTAAATATCCTGTTGTGTGTGTGTCTGTGTGTGTGTTTGCCTTCTTTTTTTCGCGTTCTCTCTAATTCGCTATTTTTCATACAGTTTATGACCGTTCTTGAAGTCTACGTTATTTTTGGAAAGGCGTTCAAGCCACCAACCGTTCCATTAATATTACAGCCAATCGATTTTCGCGAAAATTACCGACTATTTTTAGAAATGGAAAAACTCATTTTCATATAAATATTTTGGCCGCACTCACGTCTAACATGCAAATGTGACGCTCGATAAAAATCGTTTAGCTATAATGAGCTGAACGTTGGTTCGTTGGTTTTTTTTTGTTCTATGCGTCCGTCGCAATACATTTTGCAAATGGGTCAACGAAATTCGACAAATTATTAAGTCAACCCAAGACTTGACTCAACAATAACATTCTTTGCAGCTCATTTCACAGTCGGTTCTTTGTAGTAGTTTTTTTTTCTCTCATTTGTTATTTTTGTCATATTAATTCCGAGTCGCTTATAAGTTGGGCCATAAATAAAAGTTTCATTGGCTCTGAAAATCGATTCGATTGTCATGGGTTTTTCCGAGTTGTTGTCTCTTCCGTTATTGTTTCGACAGCGCGTATGCACCAAAAGTTGTGTTGCCCACTGTCGTTGCTATATATCATTGGATGAGAAAACAACGCTGCTGTCGCTGCCTTTGTAGTCGTTATTGTTGCTACTCTGTGTATATAACACAGAGGCGGCTTGCTCTTGGTTTATCAAGTTTGTTGGGTTTTCCCAGTCGAATAGACGTCGCAACGACATACACATTTATTCGCATACACAAACAATACATACGTCGAACATTCGTACACACGGAACGTCGTTTCCAACGGCCACTCATACACATGTGGCTGTGGATACGTCGATGTTGTAACTATACTTGCATAGCGATGGATGTTGTTCGAAGCTCTCACCTGACAAATAGCGCGTTACATGAATACGCTAGATAAAATGTAAACACCAATTGAAACCCACACCCACCACCACCATCACAACAACGATGTACGGACTATATCACAGCAACGAAGAGAAAAAAAATGTTGCAAAGCCATGTCGAGAATGTTGCATGTTTAAAACGATAACTTGAATTTTATGATAGTCTCTAATTGTTGCAACTGCAAAAAAATGCGGATAAACAGAAGCAAATGAACGATAAAGATGAATTAGCACACATTTTGATAGGATTGTTTTCGTTATTTTACAACTTTTACCTTGTATCCACACAGCAATAAAAACAGCAACACCAGCGATGAAAAGAAAACCATTTTTATCGGTGATAATGTATGTGACTGCGGCTGCTAATTTGAATAATTCGAAATTTAGTCAGCTTTATCCAGTTTTGCATCGACATTTTTTGCTATATCTCTCTCTCTCTCTCTCTCTCTCTCTCTCTCTCTCTCTCTGGATTTGTTCCGTCTATCCCGGTCAACTTCGAGTATATGCGTGACGAGTGATAATTTACGTGGTGATTTCAGCAACGTATTAATTAATTGAAAAGGTATTCGATGATTCTTTTCAAAGATCCGGTGGAAATTATAGAGGGTTGAACGATCGATCTCGTGCTATTTATGAAATCGATATTTACGCGGATCTCAAAAAAAAATGATATCCTGTTCAAAGCACTGCATAGCACAGATAAACAATCCGGTGTTTTTCTCCAGGAAATTACGGCCAATTCAAATTTTCCGCCATTTGATTGATTATCATTAATTTGGATTTGTTTTCTTTTTTCTTTTTGAAAATTCTAGGTGAAAATTGTGTTCATATTGCCGCACAGCAAAACCATGTCGAAATACTGAAGCTATTGATTCGGGAAGGTGCTGATATCAATGCAAGAGTAAGTAGAATTGCATAAGCCATAAAATGACAATTAATTAAATCGCTTTGCCTCGTGTTGATCAAGTTACTCATTTGAAATGGTGATTAAGCGCCAGAATTGATTTCGATGAAAACATCAAACGTTTCTGTGATTCTTCATTCAAAAGTTCAACCAGTTTTAAGACGCAGTTTTAATGACACATTTTATTCAATAATAATAATAATAAAAAAAAACATTTATTGATTCCGTCAAATATTTACAAAAAATGCAAATGAGCCCCGTGCTTACGCGTAACATTCCACGCGACCGAGTCCAGCATTTGCGCTTCCTTTCAGCAATAAAAAATGAGTAATTTGTATGGGGGAATGTGTTTGTGTATCTGTTTTAAATCTATGATCTTCTTTGTTTACCGGAATGCCCACTAATTGAGTTACATTGTTGTTTCATTGATTTACAGGAAGGTCGCGCTGGGTATACGTCACTTCACATAGCCGTTGAAAATAATAACATGGAATTGGCGAAATTTTTATTGGAAAGCAGTAAACAATTGAACACGGAAACGTTCAACTATCGTCAGGTGACGGCTTATCAACTAGCCGCTGAGCTCGAACACTCGGACATGCTGCAAATATTGGAACGCTACGGATGCGAAATGATACCACCGCCAGAGAGCGATATGGACGAATCGGATGAATCATTCGATGCTGATCCAGACAATAACTAAAAGAGACACAGAGTTGCAGCCAAAATTGTCCAAATGCTGATAGAAAAAAAACCACTCTTCACACTCACATTTCAATTATATCATTCTCTACTTTCATAAAACTCTATTTGTACTCATCAAAAACCCCTCGAACTATGGAGCAAGAAAAAAAAACGCCAAATCGTGGGCAAATCCGAATCTATGCATTAATTTAGCCGGAAAATACAAACAAACAACACACAATGAGAGATATACAATTCAAAAGATATTTAAGTGAAATTAGTATGATTTTAATTTGTACGTTCGTTTAGCGCATAGATTATATAAAAGGAGCAGCAGCATATCGCATCTAATTCTATTCTATTATTATTATTATTATTATTATTACCTTTCCATAAATAAAATCAATAAAAAATTATTTGTTAAAAAATATTCATAAACGAAAGCAAAAAAAAAAAAAATTATCAAAAACAAGATCTGTCTGTTTGAACAAAATTGCATAGTGGTATTTAAAACTAAGGAGGAAAAACAAGAAGAAGAAGAAGAAGATCGCCTTTTGTCTTAGATGTTGTCTTTAACTGTTGGTTCAAATGAAATAAAACCAAATCTATGTTTTAATAGAAGTTCTTTGTGTGTTCGTTCTCTGTTTTTTTTTCTCTCTCTTTCTCTGCCATTCTCTGGTATTCTCTGACATTTGTCTTATGTTGTCGTGTTAACTTCATCTCTTCTCTGCGATGAATGGGCTTCCTTGTTATTTTGCATATATTGTCATATAGATTTTTTGGAGATTAAATCATCATTTCTTTTTTAAAATACAACACACGATTACGCATCGCAGAATCTTCGTATTTGCATCTACTCATATTGAAAGCGAGAAGTTGAGATGAGACGATAGACTATTTTTATGACTACTGAAATTTTACAATCCGTCCACAAGACGAGAAATTGTAAATAAAAGCAGACGCGACTCGGCTAAATGATATGATGATCTTCAACGACGATGTTTGTAATCTCTTGTCACCAAAAATAGAAGGAAAGTCTAAAGAAAGATGAGAAAATGTGACAGCTGCACATGGGCAGACAGACAAAATCTCTTAAAATAACCGAATATGAGCACAAACAACCGCTAATGTATTCAATTCCTCTTCCTAATTTGAGTCTCTATCTATGGATTGTCTGAGATTTTCACTCCAAATTTCAATGCAACTATGTCTTGGTATGATTTTTTAATCTCGGTATGAGTCTCTGTACAAATTTTTCTCATCACTGGCTTGATCTTTTCCCTATAAATTCATAAACCAATTTATCAATGTATGACTGAGGTAATTTTCTTCGAGAAATTGGTTTCGAAAATGCAGCATTAGCTCCCAAATAATTGAACACTGGAACAAACAGCTATTAAAAACACCGTAAATACTATTCGGTTCATGTTCAATTGAAAAGTATGTGCAGCTTTGAGATTATAGCTTAAACTAACGACATTCCGTCGAAATATTATTGTTTTTCTTTTTGTTCGTGTGTGCTACTTATTATGTACTTGGGTACGAGTATTTTTTTTATAGCCGAAGCTTTGACGTCAAGCCACTTCGAAATGATGACATATTTTACAAACCGATAAACAAAAAACACAGAAAATTATAGAAAACACAGATCGATGAGAGTCTGGTGTATTGGATGTCTAGACCTTGCAAATTCCCATAGAATATTCTATGTATAAAACTTTTTGCGAAACTGTTTTTCAAAGAAAAGATCATAAAGAAACCAGAAAGCAATGTTTTTTCCATAGAAACTTACTTTTTTTTTCAATCTCTAAGCCAAATCTATTCTATCTGAAAATGCAATAGAATCAATGAAAACAAGTTGTGGCTTTTTTATTGTTTGTAATATGGTTCGTCAATTTTTCTTTTTATTTAACTCTGGTGTAAAAATCAATTTGCTGTTTGCATGTTCAAATTGCATTCATGCATGTATGCTGTTTTGTTTTCGCTAAAAATTTCATCGAACTCATATACTGTAACGTAATGCATATGTGATTAACTTTCGAGAAGTTAAAATGCGCTTTCGTTTTGATGTTGCAACGGTGCTTAGTATTCTTCAGCTCCCTCGTTTTCACCTTCGTTGGAGTCCATGCCGACTTCTTCGTAATCCTTTTCGAGAGCAGCCAAATCCTCACGAGCTTCGGAGAATTCACCTTCTTCCATACCTTCTCCGACATACCAGTGTACGAAAGCACGTTTAGCGTACATAAGATCGAATTTGTGATCCAAACGAGCCCAAGCCTCAGCGATGGCAGTGGTGTTGGACAACATGCACACGGCACGTTGAACCTTGGCCAAATCACCGCCTGGAACGACAGTTGGTGGTTGGTAGTTGATACCGACCTTGAAACCAGTTGGACACCAGTCGACAAATTGGATTGAACGCTGCAATGCGAAAGAAAAAATGGACGAAAAAAATCGATTAGTTAAATAGAATTTGAATTTGAATGTGAATGTGGATAGAAAAAAATAAAATGTTTTGCTTCATAAAAATTGCATGTTTCAAGCAGCTAATAGAAAATTGCATGTTTTGTCAATTTATTGATTTTTGTTTCTATTATTAGAATAAATGTACAAACCTTGGTCTTGATGGTGGCAATAGCAGCATTGACATCCTTTGGAACAACGTCACCACGGTACAACATGCAGCAGGCCATGTATTTGCCATGACGTGGGTCACATTTGACCATCTGGTTGGCTGGCTCGAAGCAAGCGTTGGTGATTTCGGCAACCGACAATTGTTCATGGTAGGCCTTTTCAGCTGAGATGACTGGAGCATAGGTGACCAATGGGAAATGGATACGTGGATATGGGACCAAATTGGTTTGGAATTCGGTCAAATCGACGTTAAGAGCACCATCGAAACGCAATGAAGCGGTAATGGACGAAACAATTTGTCCGATCAAACGGTTCAAGTTGGTGTAGGTTGGGCGTTCGATATCAAGATTACGACGGCAAATATCGTAGATGGCTTCATTGTCGACCATGAATGCACAGTCGGAATGTTCCAAGGTGGTGTGAGTGGTCAAAATTGAGTTGTATGGCTCAACGACAGCGGTTGAAACTTGTGGTGCTGGGTAAACAGCGAATTCCAACTTAGATTTTTTGCCATAATCAACCGACAAACGTTCCATCAACAATGAGGTGAATCCGGAACCGGTACCACCACCGAATGAGTGGAAAATCAAGAAACCTTGCAATCCTGAGCATTGATCGGCCAACTTACGAATACGGTCCAACACTAAGTCAACGATTTCCTTGCCAATGGTGTAGTGACCACGAGCATAGTTGTTTGCAGCATCTTCTTTACCAGTGATCAATTGTTCTGGATGGAACAATTGACGGTAGGTGCCAGTACGGACTTCATCGACGACAGTTGGTTCCAAGTCGACGAAAACAGCACGTGGAACGTGCTTTCCGGCTCCGGTTTCCATGAAGAAGGTGCTGAACGAGTCATCACTACCTCCCAAGGCTTTGTCCGATGGCATCTGTTCGAACAATTCCCAAATAAACCATTAAAAAATTGAAAAAATGCCAAAATTTGGTTGTTTTTATTGAAATAAATAAGAAAAATTCGTTATTTACCTGACCATCAGGTTGGATTCCGTGCTCAAGGCAGTACAATTCCCAGCAGGCATTACCAATTTGGACACCAGCTTGGCCAACATGGATTGACAAACATTCACGCTATAAAAAAAAAGATCGAAGGAAAAAAACACGTTCGTCAATTTTATTTTCAAGAATGTCTGCGTTCAATCGTGATTTAATTTAAGGACCGTTGCAATGTATTTTGATGGTTTATAATTGAGACCATCGAAGAAAAAAAATATCTGTTCAAGAACATGACGTCATCCTATATATAGAAACCGCCCGAATTAATTCAATACCGCATATGGCATTGACAACAAGATAAATTATTGAAATGCAACCTACTTAATGTCGCACGCATATGGTAAAATCATTAAATCAGTTTCACCGCCTATGCGAATGTGGAGTGAAGAGAAAAAATCGAATCAGAAAAATAGTGCCCATATTTGGTATTGAATTCAACACCGAAAAATAGTTCCCATTTAACGTGTAATGATGAGAACGACGACGAGGCACATGAATCATGGTACATTGAGTACGCATACGCGGCACTCCAACAACAAAATATATGTAGGAGAATGCTCACTGTACCACACAGACATACAGCTACATAGCGCGCTCTATAGACGTGCTCATAATGTGATTATGAAACGCCCAAGAAATTTTTTATTTTTTTTCTCTCCAGCCGCCATCATGGAAAAAATGCAACGGGAAAAATTCTTCAACACCAAATGTTCGGAAAAAACGAGAAATTTTGACGGAAATTCATGATTTTTTGCGCGTTTTCTCAATTTTGATTAAAATAATCGGGAAATAAACGTTTTTTTTAATGTTTTACCGGCGAAAATGCGATAAATGTGAAAAAGCCGAATCAATTTCACGGACGCCAATGACTCATCTAATTATACTCTATGTCGCGGAACTTTCACATTTTTTCCCTATCCAAAGCGATTTATATTCCAGAAAAAATTGATTGAATTTAAACTAATTTCAATTGTTTTCTTCGAAAAAATGCAATAAAAATATTCACTTACCATTTTGATTGAGTTTTTTTTTCACTTGAGATTTCACTGATTGAAAATTTTGTAAAAACGGTTTGAATTTGCTTTAGGTAAGCGTCGCAATGTGGGCTCTTCTAAAACAAGACAAATAATGACGCCATATTCGTTGGGTAGTCGTATTTATAGGCTCCGTCATATCGGGTGTTGCCAGCGTCGAGTTTCGTGTACAATGTGTAGATTTATACATCTGCCGGTTAGCGGTTGGTATTTAACCACACTTTAAGCGGCATCGCGTGTTTGAACCGCAGATTGTCGTTAAATTTATCGGTTGAACGTTTTGTATTTGAAATTTATTGCACAAATGTATTGGAATGAATGCGATTTATTGAGAATACATGGAATGGATGAAAAAATGTTGAAATTTTACGGAATAAAAAAATACAATTTATTTGTTGATGCATTGGGATTGAATTGTTGGAATAAAAAAACTGAATATCGTCTTTGTAGAATAATAAATAAAAAAAAATTCAAAAAGGAAAACTAAATGCGTCATCTGAACATATAATTACAATATTTTTATTCCAATATTGAAATGAAATAACAAGTAGGTACTAAATATTTCATTTATTTTATACAACATAATCTTAATTAATATTCAAAATCCAACTAACGAAACTTTACAGAAAAAAATGTTTGATTATATATAACAAAATCAAAGTTGTTCAATGTGTAATTTGAATGAATTTGTTTAATTTTGTTCAAAATTCATTATTTTAAATTTAGGATTGCAATCTTTTTCTGGAAATAACATAGTTCAAATGGCAGTTTATCTTATAGTGCTATTGATTTTATTCCTTAATTGAATGTGTTAATTATGGTGCCAATTTCCACCATCGCCGAAATTATTTCGACAATTACAAAGAACATTTCCATAAACTCAGAATACAAATCCATAATTGAAGACAATTCCAAAGATGTTGATTCTCCTTCCATGATTGTAATGGTAACTGGTTTTCATTTTACACCATTGAAACAATTGCGAACTATAAAAGGCTCCATTTCGATATCAAAACAGAAAATTTTCTGCAAAGAACAGAAATGAAAGATTTGATTTAACCCTTCCAAATGTCAATTTCTATGTTTCAAGCTGCTTTCAATTTCTATTGTCCGATAGCTAGCATGTTTACTTACCAAGCTGATATTCGTCTAACAAACATAAAGGTGGGGAAACCATGTTTAGTCGAGTTTTACATAATCACCGCACTTCTCTTTTCAATACACTAAGGTAATTTGATTAATTTCAAATTTTGGATATTTTGCGTGAAGTATAAAATAAATGATGATATTTTTTGATTGAATATGATTTCGGCTGACACAATACTTAATCCCAACATAAACAAATGAGAAAAAATAATGGACAAAATTACTAAGAATTTTGAGTGATGTACTCCAGCTTACTGGTAGCAAAGTTAACTGACCTCAGCGATTCTATAAGCATGATCGCCATAAACACACAACCAGTAGCAAAACTTGATGTCATTTGTGGTGTTACAAACTTCAAATAATGGTTTTTATGTGTATACCTGTTTTTGGCTAGCTTCACTTTAATTATACATATTCAGCTATTTTTGGAATGTCTGTTAATTTTTGTGGTGATGAAGAGAAGTGAAAGAAAAACTTCTGTGTTTCACAAATATCATTTAATAATATCTTAAGCTAAATCAAATGCTTATGAGAATGTACTGAAAAAACGGAATGAATTTAATGAAATAAAAAAATATCATGATTTATAGACATATGTCAAAGTCAGTGAACCAATCATTTGAATTGATACGTTTCATTTGGATCAAATTGCGTTCAGTATCATTTAACGCTCGCTTTGTTGCTATATAAATCCGTTCATCTACAAAGATTACGACTTTTTGGGCATTTTTCAATTTCTTCCGTTCTCTATTTAATGCAAACATATCAAGAATATCGTCCTCAAAATGAGTTCCCATTTTTATCCTGCCACTAATCATGATTCCCTTCAATTTGGCTGCATTACTAATGAGGATTGTAATATGCGCAATAGATGAATTTTTCAATCCAACCCGTTGAAGAATTGGGTGGTTGCCTGTGAGTTATTCCCAGTCACTAACTTTTTCGCTATCGTCGATAAATAATTCCTCCAAATTGATTAAAGCAGACAGAGCAACTTGATCCGATAATTTTCCATATAATTTACTAAGAATCTCCACCGATGCGAGTAAAGATTAACACTTTCCTGGGAAATGTTCGTGTTCTCACCAAAATAAATATATAATTTTCTATAGAATCCACGAGCAAGAGTGTTTTTTGTTGATTTTATTTGCATAAGAGTTCATTCACATGTATCGGGCTTCTACGGTTTTTCACGAAATTAATAAGAATATGTATTGCAAATTGCTCGCGAGTACATTTAGCGATATTGCTTTATCGAAGAAACTAAACCATTATTGTTATAGCAATAATTCATATACCAAGTTGAACAAACCTACCGTTCTTTTACGTCTCACCAATATTTATACTCTTATAAGAATAACTTTCGTTTAACTTCTCGTTCGAATTTCGTAATGTTGAGAAAAGACATTGAAAGAAAACGTTCAAAAGTGTTAAATTATTCATTTCTGTCAACGACTGTCGCCTGAATTGGCCCATTCGGTTTTGAATTTCAATTGGAAGCTATTTATAATACTCTCTAACGTGATCGAAAGAGATAGATACAATGAAACAATGGCTTCCACATGTTTTTCATTTTTTTTTAACTTTCACGTTGAACTTGGCACTTAGCCCGAGCACGAGTTTGATGAGGTTAATCGAATTGAATGCGTCAACCAATTTCGGCAGATAGCCCAGTTTATTGCTTTATTTATTATTTCCATTTCTTCTTTACAGTAGCTCTATATAAATATAAATTTTATTCTTTAGTAGAAGCTATCTATATAAATATAAATTTTATTCTTTAGTAGAAGCGAATGAAATAGAAGATGAATAATTTTAGTTTAAAAAAGAAGAACGAATAAATTTTTACAAAAAAAGTAGATCAATTGATCAGATAAAATGTGATAAAACATGAATATAACGTCTTTTTTCGAAATAGACCAACAACAATTTCATTTTAAAAATAATTTGTTTTGTTTTTGATGCATTATGTCTCTAAACACCAGCAGAATTGCTTGATGACCCGTTCTGCAGGAATCAATTCGATCGTTTTGTTTTGTTTTTGTTTGGGTATTTACACAACAAGTAATTAAAATATAAATAATTTATCGATGTTGTTCTACGTTTAGGTACGTTAAAATCGATGGTGCTGAAATTGGTTCACTAGAACCCGAGTTGAATTGGTTTTTGGTAACTGAAAATCTCATTGCTCTATTGAGTTGGCAGTGTGATGGTTAAACGAATTTATTGAGCATCACGAGGTTCAGTTGGTTTTGGCAATTTTTCCCAACTTGGTTCAACTCCCCAGATTTCACGGGCATACTCTTCGATTGTTCGATCGCTGGAGAATTTACCGCTCGATGCAATGTTGTGGATGGCCATTTCTAACCATTTCTTCTGGTTCTGTAATGTGAAAAATAGAATGAAACGAATTAGTACTCCATTCAATTTCGATGTTTTTCTTTGAATTCCAAATATTTGCACTCAATATGCCAACTCACCTGATAGGTTTTCGAAACAAGATCTTGTGTTTTGATGTAATCTTCGTAATCAGCGAGCAACAAGTAGCCGTCCCATTTAAGAAGAATATCGGTGATGCCCTTGAATTCATTTGGATTGGACGGGCTGAAGAAACCGCATGAGATTTGATCGACGACTTGTTTGATTTCTGGATTACGGTTGTAGTAGTCGTATGCGTTGTAACCTTTGCGTTTGAGTGCTTCAACCTCATCCACATTCATGCCGAAAATGAAGATATTTTCACGGCCCATTTCTTCGGCCATTTCAACGTTAGCACCATCCAATGTACCGATGGTCAATGCACCGTTCAATTGGAACTTCATGTTACCAGTGCCCGAGGCTTCTGTGCCGGCAGTTGAGATTTGTTCGGACAAATCGGCGGCTGGCATAATTTTTTCGGCCAATGTGACACGGTAATTCTCCAAGAAGATAACCTTAAGTTTGTCACCAACGATTGGATCGTTGTTCACAACATTGGCCACGGCACAGATCAACTTGATGATTTGTTTGGCTGTGTAATAACCTGGAGCGGCTTTGCCACCGATCATGATGGTTCTTGGTGTAAAATTGGCGGTTGGATCACGCTTGATGCGATTGTACAATGTAATGATATGCAAGCAGTTGAGCAATTGACGTTTGTACTCATGGATACGTTTGACTTGAATGTCGAACATTGATGATGGATTGATTTTCACACCGTACTCTCGTTCGAGCAAAGCGGCCAATTTCACTTTGTTTTCTTGCTTAACTTTGGCGATTTGTTGTTGGAAAGCGGGGTCTTTGGCAAATTTCTTTAATCCAACCAATTGTTCCAAATGGACTGGCCAATTTTCGCCAATTTTCTCGCAAATAATTTCACTCAAACCTGGATTGCACAACAACAACCAACGACGTGGTGTGATACCGTTGGTTTTGTTTTGGAATTTCTCTGGTTCGTATTCATAGAAGTCCTTGAACAAATCAGCCTTGAGAATTTCCGAGTGCAAAGCGGCAACACCATTAACGGCATGCGATCCGACAATTGACAAGAAAGCCATGTTAATGCGCTTTTCACCGTGCTCTTCAACACATGACATACGACCCAAACGATCGAAATCGGCTTCGCCGAATTTCTTCTTCACTTTTTCCAAATGCAAGAAGTTGATGTGATAGATGATTTCCAAATGACGTGGCAAAATTGATTCGAGCATCGATACTGGCCATCTTTCCAAAGCTTCTGGCAAGACGGTGTGATTGGTATAGGCACAAGTGCGTACAGTGATGTCCCAGGCTTGATCCCATGTCAATTTTTCGACATCGACCAAGATGCGCATAAGTTCCGGAATAGCCATCGATGGATGGGTATCGTTCAATTGGATGGCCACTTTGTCGGGGAAGTGTGCGAAATCGGTACGAACGGCATCACGTGAACCGAATTTCGATGATTTGAAACGACGAATGATATCCTGCAATGTAGCGGCGCACATGAAGTACTCTTGCTTCAAACGCAGTTCCTTGCCTTCGAAGAAGTTATCGTTTGGATACAGAACACGAGAAATGTTCTCAGCAAGATTACGATCCAACACGGCTTGAATGTAGTCACCATCGTTGACTGGAAGCAAAAATAGAGAAAATTTATTTGAAATTTTGGAAATTACAAAAAAAAAACGATTGAATTTAAAACGGGATTAGACTCTTACAGAATTTCAAATTGAAATCGATTGGACTCTTGGCCGACCACAAACGAAGTGTGTTGACAACGTTGTTTCGGTAACCTGGAATTGGGTTATCATAGGGCATGGCATAGACGACTTGAGTGTCAACCCATTTTTTGCCATCTGGAGTATCGATGACACGACCGTAGAAATTGACTGGAAGCATGAATTCTGGACGAGCCTTTTCCCATGGGCATCCAAAACGCAACCAATCATCTGGCTCTTCCTGTTGTTCGCCGTTAATGATTTTCTGGGCAAAGATACCGTATTCATAACGAATACCATAACCATAAGCAGCCAAACCGAGTGTAGCCATGGAGTCAAGGAAACAGGCAGCCAAACGACCGAGACCACCATTTCCCAAACCGGCATCCTCTTCCAATTCTTCGAGTTCTTCGATGTCCAAGCCCATTTGGTACATGGCTTCATCGCAAGCACCTTCAATGCCCAAGTTGATCATGGTATTTTGCAATGCACGACCCATATAGTATTCCAAAGACAAGTAGTAGACACGCTAGAATCATTGAGAAATTTCATTGTGAAAACAATTTAAATTGAATGAAATCGCATCTAAATATAATTATAATCATTGGAAATAAATGGTTTCCTTCATTTGGTCTCGTTATTTTTGTTTTAGTTTTCCAATTATTCTTATCGAAATAAATATATTCGCATTTTTGCTCTTATCACTAGTTTGTTCTAATTATGTGCCAGATACGGTATTTTTATAAATTCCAGTTGTTAAAAATTCATTGACGCTAATTCGATTGACATGTTTCTGCTTGGCGTTACCTCAGCCGTCGCCGCTGCTGACGGTAGCGGTCGGCATTTCCTTTCAATTCCAAAGCATTTGAATACTAATAATGAGTTTCCTTGATTCGAATCGCGCGTTATCAGCACGAGACGTGTAAACAAAGTCAGGTTCAACAAAGTGCACCATTTGATTTAGATTTGATTCTAAACATTAAATTTAGAAATGCAGCACAAATGTCAAAGCTTATCGTAGTGAGATCAAAAAGCGGTCAACAAACATGGAGACAAGAAATGTTTTGCTTTACTTCTTTGCGACGACAATCGTTGACAAAAAACCGAATCGTTTGAAATACACACAATTCCCATAATTGGATGCATACGATGATGTAATGCCATTCGGCGTCAATCATTGGGCATGGCATTTTTATATGAAAAATATAAATTTTAAACAAATAATAGTTTTTGTTGTTGTCGCCCCTGTCATACGGTAACACCACTCAAATTGCATGAAAACAAGTCATGTTCGGCGACGATTACGAATATTATTTTTATAGTGCAATTTGCTATATACGATCCGCCAATAGAATGTATTGTGAGCGCGCGTGCTTCAGCCGCTTGACAGATTCGAATAAAAACAAAGAGAAAATGAAAATCGAATGCGGTGTAATAAATGTATGAGAAAGAGAGAGAATCGGCTTTTGTTGTTTGCTTAAAGAGAAGTTATCATTGGCGCAACGAATGTAAGTCGACGTCGTCGTCATCGTCGTCGTCGCAAGCAGCAAGTCTGTGGGTCAACAGCCACAAGGAGAGAATGCGAGTGTCTCTCACACACGCACACACACCGTATGCATATGTCACACACAGCCTATTCCCATACTGAAAACAGCGGCTCAACTAAAAACAAAATCTACATTCTAATTTTTCTCGATATATTACATAACAAACTTGAATTTGCGGTTGCATTTTCATGTGCTGCGCCGAACAAAATGACTTGTTTCAATTGACAAGAGAAAAATAGAGACAATTGTATCAGCTGTCAAAATGAATACTGTCACAAAACCTTTTTTTTTTCTCTTTATGTTCAATTGTTCTGTTTCATCATTGAATTTGGGCTAATTTACTCTTTGAGATGATGATGATGATGATGCTGAATGATGTGGATCATTTCGAATCCTATTTTGAATAAGGATCATATCTTGCATGTGTACTAGTTTCAATGATTGTTTACAATCACTCAAAACTATGACCTATTTGACCTTGTTCCAATTTGAAATTCATGAAATTATCATTTCTGTCCGATTTAGTTGCTGTCTCGGTCAGACACTATTGGAAAATGATCAATATTTTTTTGTAAATACGTTTCATGGAAACAAACAGTGCCGTCCAATGCGTGTTTGTTTTTCTTAAAAAATTGCACGCACTATTTGCAAATAGTGTGAACACGCGTTGATTACACAATAATCATGCAATGATCGACATTTGATAATAACACAAACGTGATACTCGTCGTTCGCGATCCATATGAACCGGCAAAACGCGTTTATCACACATGTGTAGCGAAAACTAATCATGTCATCTGCTGATTATCTTTCGAATTGATTCAATCAAAGGCCGTGCAAAATCATCAAACAATTCCAAAATGAACCCATGTAGAAGAAAACATTTGGCGAAAGAAAGAGAAAAAAAAGTTCAACTTACTTTTGGATCCTTTTCATAGTAGTATCTAAAAATAGACAAAGAGTAAAAAACACATTAGTGACTTGACAGGCTTTTTTTCTGGTAATTTTGCCATTTTCATTTTTGATAAGGTGTTCTATCGATTGAGAAAGAGAGACAACGAACGGAATATTCCGTGTGCGTGGATTATCGAATATGACAGTGATGTGATGCCACACGCAATGCGTAAGAGTACGAGAAAGTACATTCAAGGACAAGCACTATCAGAATGAGGAAGACGGAAAGAAAAATAAATTAAAACAACTTACTGTTGAGTACGAATCCATCGTGAAACCATATGATCCTTCACGCAATGGGCCAATGCAAAGTAGTAATCTCGTGGTGTCGCCACATTACGATCTTTCACCAAAGTGTAGTGAAGATGACGGTTGAAACCTTTCTTTACTTCACCCACATTTTCAACTTGAGCAATACCACGAACACTAATCTGTTTTCGCTTTTCAATATCTGACTGAGGCGTCGTCATTTTCAAAGATTTTTCTTACTTTTTCCCTCCTTAATTACTCGTTAATCAACAATTGAATTTGATTCAGAGAATCGATGCGTTTTGTTTAAATTGAATTTTAACGTGAGAAAAAAAATTCACGTTTCAAGACGAAAAAATCTTTGAACGAAAATGATGTAGCCGTAATCAAACACTTTTAGAGTATACTTCTGAATGTACACCGCGCGTGAGCTTTTAATAAAATTGATGCATTCACGCCGAGAGCGAGTAAAGCACTGCTTGGTGAGCTGTACGAAATCGGTCACCTTGTTGAAGGTCACATATGCCGAATCATTGGTAGAATTTTCTTCGTTGATAATAAACTATATGCGGACTTTGACGGCTCGTCCCGTGTGTGTGTGTGACAGTTCACAATTCCAATGTTTGAATCACAGATGGCAACACCACCGAAGCACCAAGTTTTGAAAATTGCAACGAAACGAATTCTAGCGGTATAGTAAGACTTATTTAGATAATCGAATTTTTTTTATGACTTTTCAGAGATTTTGATGATTTTACGACTTTTGTTAGTACAATCAATGTCAATGACGTTCTTTGTGCGGCAACTATGTGCGCCGAAAATATACAGTGGCCTTTGGAAATTCTAATCAATATCTACTTTTCGAAATAGTTAGTTATCAATGATATTTAATTTTGTATGCTGATTGCGTCACATAAACGAATGTTTTTTTCCGAATTTTATGAGCTGTGATTGGAATATTTATTTCTTATGGCCGAAATACCAAGTAAATTTACGTGGGCCACACAGCTGGAGCTGATCGAAGTGAACTTCAAATTATTCACTCATTTGCAATCGAAAGGTTTTCGATGAGAACTTGGATATATACATGAATGACTTGTGTACACTGCCAAAATGTTCAACATTTCTGTTTTGACATTTCTGCTAATATAAAATAGTATTGGGAGTGTGAATTAATTCGTACGGTTTCACAAAAGATGGCGGAACTAGATTATTATTCCATTATTCCATTTTTCCAAATATTCATTCGAAAGCTACTGTCATTACGCGTCTTTTTCAGTCTGTGTCATTTGATTGAAGCGTAAACAATAATATTTTTTATTCAATTGGAAATGTTGAATTTCGTACCAGATAAAGTGTTTTTACGGGGCGTTCTTCTTCATTGTTTTATGATGAAGAAAAGTGCAGCCGAAAGTCATCGAATTTTAGTGGAAGTTTATGGTGACCATGCTCTAGCTGAGCGAACGTGTCAAAAATGGTTTGCACGATTTAAAAGTGGTGATTTTGGCTTGGAAGACGAGAAGCGGCCCGGACAGCCAAAAAAGTTTGAAGATGACGAATTGGAGGCATTACTCGATCAAGATTCGTGCCAAACGCAAGAAGAACTTGCAGATTCATTGGGAGTTGATCGCTCATCCATTGCAAAACGTTTGCATAATCTGGGAAAGAAAGATGGCAGAATGTAGTGTCTAGCGATGGACAATACTTTGAACATTGAATTTATAAACATTTTTTCGAAATAAAGCTTCAATTTTTCAAAAAAAAACCGCACGAATTAATTCACACTCCCAATATATTACCGGGTTTTCGTTAAAATACACATACAGTACGTCTGAGTTGACATCTCAATCCTATATGATGAACTCTATGTAAAGCAAGTGGTCATTTGTGAAGTAGTTGGATTCTTTTCACGTCGTCATATCGAATCTTCTGTCCTCTGGTCTTCAATCTCTTAAATAACAAACTTCTCAAGGAATCAATTTGTCTTACAAACGAAGAAGGGAGGTAAAAGATCGGAAATGCAATTGATTAAAATATGTCAATACTTTGGATTTCAAAGCAAATACGAAATAAAAGAAATCTCCATACAAAATGATTGATTGCAAAAAAAAATACAATTTAATCGCTAGCAAACCATGCGATGAGTACATCAAGGTGATAAATGCAATTATTTCTGGTTTATGTGAAAAAAAATTCTTTTTTCCAGTATTCGACATCAAAAATATAGATTTGTTTTGTACTTTGTGGCACCATTTATTGCAACCAATTCTTAAGAATAATTGATGAATTTCTTATTTTTTATCACGTCCACTACAAAAAAGAGCCAAATGAGTTAAATCTGAATAGAAATTGGTCTATTTCGATATTTTTCGATAAAATCTTCATTTAATTTACAAAATAAAGGCGAATGCAAATTGGCTAGAGACTATGAACGTGGTGGATTTTGTTGGAAATTCACGGAATAAGAGCCAGTGTTTGGATCTTGTTGAAGTTGGAAATTGTTCGTTGACAATCCGAATGGTTTGAGTATCATATTGCCCAAGTCTTTGAGTTTTCCCATCATTTCTTCCTTGAGCCGTTCATTGCGTTCGTGAACAATCGGTTGCAAACGGGTCACATGTGTTTTGGCCTCAACGCTACTTGGGTCAAGCTCAAGAATTTTGTTGTAGTCGGCCATGCATTCGTCCAACTTATCGGTTTCTTCATAGAGAGTCGCTCGTCTGGAATAGATGACAACGGATTGATTAAATAAGCACAACAGCTCAACCAAATCAGAGGAAGGGAATCAATTATAATGAGAAAAAAGTCCACTTCAAATCAAATGAAAAGTGAATTTTATGCAACGAAAAAAAAAATCAGTTGAAGCATTATCTTCAATCAAAATTTATCATTAGCCTTACCTTGCGTACGCCTTGATATAGTTGGGATTATTTTCGATGGCCTTTGTACAATCTTCAATGGCAACACTTTGTGCACCGAGATGTTTATGGGCTGCTGCACGGTTGTTAAACAGAATGGCCCGTTCGACGGTGCATTTCTTTGGACAAATAGCTAATGCTTCGGTGTACAAATCGATTGACTTTTCATATTCAGCATTCTTGAATGCGGAATTGCCTTCTTGTTTCAAACTTTCAGCCTTTTCTTTATTCGCCTGCAATTCTTCTTCGCTGAGCTCTGGTTCCGGTTCTTCTTCGGGTTCTTTTTCAGATTCGATTGGTTCATTTAAATCCAGAGCATCCGAGAATTTTTCTTCCAACGCTTCTTTGTCATTGTCTTCGGCATCATGAAATTCATTGTCTGATGTGTCATCCAATGGTTGTTTGACATCGAGCTCTACAGCACATGTTATTGAATTGTTAAACTGTTGAAACTCTTTTACAAGTTGTGATTGTGTCAAACAATCGTATAAATCGCTTCATCATCACTTACCATTCTGTGGGGATGCCATAATTTTGGACTGCTATTTCTTAGAAATTACTGTACAAAACCTATGAAATTCTTTCTTTTCTACCTTAAAATACACAACAAGTGAGCTATTGTCTACTTTATTCGATGTGTTTGGTGACAGTGACATTGTGAGCTGTTGCGAGCACCATCTAACAGCTTAAATTCGCAACATCGACATGTATAAAAACTCAAACGCAATACGTGTGGAACGTGTTGATTTACTCATGATATGACCGAATTGCACGATATTCGTTTGGTTTGAACACGAAAGCGATTGTTTATTTGCTGTTTGTCGTATGGTTTCATGTGAATTATGACTTTCTCACCGGCAATTTCGCACTCAATTACCTCTTATTCCTTATCTTTCAATTTTCCAATGTAAATCAATCGTCTTTTGTTATGCAATCGAAATGAAATGTATTGAATTTCTGAAACCCACTGAAAATTAATCACCCAATGATAAAAAGAGAAAATGACTCAAGCAGAGAGAATGTTTGCTTCAAAATATGAAGTTTATTTATTTATTTTTTAAGTTTTGGTATCAAATATGAGAAATGAAAATGATGTACACTTTGCGGCGTACACTTTCACACAAAAAAAAGCTACAGTTATTTTTGTTTTACTTTCTTGTCAAAAGAAATTACTGCAAATTATTTTACGAGAATGAGAAAAAGAAATGTTTTGGTGATCAATATTTCAATGTTGAACATTTAAAAAATGAAAAATTAAACCAATAAATTCATTTAAAAAGTCAAGAAGAATATTTTGGTATCGCCGTTTTTGTTTTAGTATCATAATTTGCGTTTTTGTTTGTTTCAGAGAAAAAAAATATCAGTACGTGGTGTTTTTCGTTTCAAGCCAAAACAAGATAATGCGCATTAAAAAAAATCAGTTTATAGATAATATAGTTCATGTCAATCCAGTCCAAATGTTTGCAATGGTGATGTTATTGGTGACGTATGTGTGATGGTATCTGCATTTTTGTCAACGTTTTTTTTTTCTGCTTTGTACTGGAATGGTCTTCTTTTTTTGTTTCCTCTTAACCTTTTTTTTGTTGTTGTTGATGTTGTTCTTCGAATGAATACTGTCTGGATGCAATTATTCTTGGGCGGCGTATTTACGAGTGCAAGTAACGTCTCCAACGGTCATGGTGGCAACCAATTCCTTGTCGTTGAACTCACGAATGATGGTCGATTCGGGTGTACCAGCTTGTTTATGGATGAACTTATTACCGTCCGCGGTAACGGTGCTCTTAACTTTGCGGCCATCCAAAGTCTCTTCATCGAATTCCTCGCCCAATTTGAATGTGATGGTCGACGTTTTGAATGTTGACGACGTGACCAAAGTGTATTGATCACCGTCCTTCTTCAATTCAACGGTTGGAGACGTTGAGTTACCGATCTTACGAAGAACGAATCCGACACCTGCACCAAAAAAAGAAAAGAAAAAAGAAATTGCATTTAGTCACGCACTTGCAAATATTATTCCATTCAATTAAAATAATTCAATTCATTTCGTTTTCATTTGCAAATAGCAATAGTTCTGCAACAAGCCAAAAATGGTTGATAAATGCTTCAAGCCTTCAAGAGATCAAAAGTTTTCAAATAGCTCGCAGAAATTCTTTGTGCTGGTTGACAACGAGAAAAGCATTTTCTGTGCATTTAAAATGTGTTTGCATCAAAAAATAAAGTGCGTTTGCTTGGTAACATGCTGCCATTGAATCGGAAATAAACCATTAAACATGTCTTTCGGGCTGAATGTCGTGCTTCAAAAATGCAAATAAGAGAAATGTGAATTTAATCAAATTGCCGAGTGTATGTGAATGAGAGTATGAGTCAAATGCTTAAATGCATCTAAATAAAGCCGGCATTCAATTTTATGTCTCAATTGAGGCATTTATAAATGCCTCACAATATGTGTGTGTGTGTGTGCATGTCTCTGTACAAATGACCGAGAGCCGCTATAATAGCCAATTTCGAACCGATTGACGAGACAGAGACAGCGCATTGTTCAATCAAAAATATAAAGGCTTTGATACATTCAACAATCGTTTAGTCATTTATTCGTCAATTCATCATTATTGCCCTGGACTTTTTTTCTTATTAAGACAGCGACATTTTGATGAAATTATTGAATTACTACTAAAGACCGGGAGCGCAATGTTAAATGGAAAATTGAATTAAGAATTGAATGAATGAATGAAAGAACGAAAGAAAAAGAAACACGTAAAACCGACAATAATGAAGACAACTGGCAAGGGGGCAAATGAAGTGAGAGAACGACCGTATAGTGAGAATGAGCGCATCTGAATATGCACGTTTTTCGTTTCTCATATGGTGCAACAAGTTTTTGTTTGTTGATTGGAGGAAAAAAAAGCCGGTATTTTTATTGAATGCAACTGTCGTTGCGCTGTATGGGATGAGAGTGAATGTGTGCAGTTGAAATGGAATTACAGCATTTTGTTCGCTTTCGTTCGGATTCAAATGACTGCTCGGTTTGTGTGTGCATGCGTTTTGTCAGTCGGCAAGTCGAGATTTATTTATAAGTTTTTTTTTTTCTGCTTTAATTCCGTACCGTGCGGCGTATCAGCACGGTAAACAAACATTTTCACAGTCAAAATACGAGCACGATGAAAAATTGAAATTCGACCTTTTGGCATAAACAACGATTCTTTTCTTTTCTTTTTTCTCTCTGGCTTTGACAAAAACAAAACCCAAATATCATCATGTGATAAATACAATTTAACAAACATTATAATTCCAAATTATTACGATTCAACTACCTAAAATTAGGCTGTGTACACAGCCGTAATCATTGTATACATATTTATTTTTTTTTTCGTTTCAACAGCAGTTGAAACCATATTGAAAACGTAGATTTATTTCTCCTATGGAGAAATATAGAGGAGAGTAAACGAGGAAAAAAATAATAATAATACCAATGATGATGCATTGACACCACCAAGTCACGCCATATGAAAGTCGATATCGAACGATAGAAAGAGAACGAATTTTGCGCAACAATTTAGATGAATGGAATGCGAACGACAAATGAGCGGGAGCGAGACACACTTAGTGCGAACTATACGAAAAAGAAGAGAAAGATTCGATGGCTATGTATGCGTTGCAACATACACACATACCACACTGGATGGGTAGAACGGAAAGCTGCAAACGTTTTTAAAGACGAACAACGAAAGCAGCGAACAAATGGACGCACAATACAAATTAAGACGAATATTCAATCTTGTTTTGTACACGCAAAAATTCCATACTATTTTTTTCGATTTCGCCATATTCTCTCTCTCTCTCTCTCTCTCTCTCTCTCTCTCTCTCTCTCTCGACTTTTTCCATATATTCAACACCTTTTCCGATGGGCACAGCCAGCGCAATGGTGCATATGGAGAACAACGTTTGTTAACCGCTTTTCATGGCTGGACCGCATGTCGACTCGATTCATTCTCATGGAAACAGATTGCTGCGGCCGCGTGAAACACAATCCGAGAAAGAAAGAAAGAGAGAGAGAGAGAAAGCACTGCAAAATCAGTGTGCTGAAAATGCATCACGCTAATATGAATGACGATTCGAAAAAAAAAATCAATTTCAAACGGTCTTTGGGCCGACAAATTATGAATTTTGTTCAAATGATTTTTGAACCGATTATATTTTTCCATTTTGCTGACCTCCAAACACCATCGGAAATTAATTATGACACATTGTGTCGCAGCAAAACGTTGAATACAACAAATAGCGCTCACGAACAAACGACAAAATTTAAATTAAAAAACGATATTATTTTATTATTTTTTTTCTTTTTTTGCCACATGGCTATGCACTTTAGATTGTGAACTGTGTGTATTTGGTTCTATTGATACCGTAATTCTGTTCACTTTGTCGTCTATCATTCAATATGGTTCGATTCGTGCTTGCGTCTTGCACGATTTCTGTCTTGGTTTTTTTTTTCTTTCTACCTCTCTCTTGCTTTCTTTCGTTCAATGAAAAAAAAAAATGTTGATCTCATCACTCACCCAATGCCTTCATGTACTCGTCGAAATTTTCCGATTCGGTCATCTTGTAGGCTTTTCCTTCCCAAACTTCTGGCATTTTGAGTTTTGAGTTTATTGAATTTACTTGTAAAATAGAATTTAACAATGAGAATTTAGTTCGAATAACTGGAGCACAAGTAAGTTGTACTGTATGTCTGACAATTACACTCTGAATGAAGGCAGCTAACACCCAGCCGTATATATACAAATTGAATTGTTTGAAACACACACAGCGTTCTACACATTTATCGCCCCATTCGCTGTGCGTGTGTATTTTAGAAGCGGCAAAACAGCGGATAGACTCTTTCGGCAATGTATTGGTTTCGCAGTGCTACGCAGCCCGTGTACAGTACACACATATACACAGGCACATCGTCGGTATCAAATTTCGTTCCACAAGTTGTATTTACTCACGAGTGCGTTTACATTGTGATTGCCACTGTACTTTGGCGTACAAATTTGAATTCCATTTTTCACAGCGGATTATGTGAGAGAAGAACCGTTGTTTTTTAGAGTCTTTCGCTTTGAAATCGTCGGCGTGAGAGAGATTAGATAGAGACTTGTTACTTTCGATTTTTATCAACTATAACGTCAAATACAAAGTCCCATCATTCTCATCTCATACGATGAGACTCATAGTGTGTTGGATGCCAAAGCAAACAAATATCATCGAACCTTATCACTCGCATGATAACAGCTAGTTTTAGACGGCATTGAAGTGAGCTAAGTGCAATCGATGTTTTTTTCATATACACATTTTTCAAACTTTGTGTTTCTTATCTTTCTAACGATTTTGTTGTTTAAATTTGACATGTTTCTCTCTTCTCTTTCAATGTAAATAAAGTAAACGCATTGAATTTTTTATTTTCTTCTCAATTTTAATGTCTCAAGAAATAAAATCGTTTATGTCCAAAAAATTCATTAAAAACTATGTAGAATTAGATGAAATTTTTTGAAAAAAAAATGAATGATTTGAACCGAAAAAAAAACTGAATCCAAATTAAAATTGCCAATTGTGTTTATTCTCTCGATTTTGTTCACATTTATTTTTATCGCTTAAAATGCCACATAAGATTGGTTTTACTTAAATATTTTGTAATTTCATTGTCATTAAATTAAATATAATACATGTCGATATGCTTCTGCTCTACGTTAAATACCGATTATAATATATTGATATAAAAAATTATGGAAATCGAGAGTAATTAAATTGCTCGAGAAAAAAAACAATCGGAAAGTTGTGTTTCATTTGAATATTCGGTTTGGGTTCAGGTTGTCATTTTTTGGTTGTTGTCTCTCAAACAATTGTTCACAGAGAAAATAATTGCTATGATCAAATTACACTCATACACTTATTTCATTCAAATCTACTCAAACGTTTCAATACTTATGTGTTTTATGTGATGGTATTTGCATTATTTTCAACTCTTTCTGGAGTATTTTCTCTTTGTTTCTTCCTAAAAAATTTTCATTTTTGTTTTTTTTGCGAACGAAAATTGTCCGGATGTCATTTTTATTGGGCCGTGTATTTACGAATGCATGTAACGTCTTTAACAGTCATGGTTACAATCAATTCCTTTTCGGTGAACTCACGAATGGTGATCGATGATGGTGTGCCTTCTTGTTTATGGATGAACTTATCACCCTCCAACGTAACAGTACTCTTGACTTTACGGCCATCCATGGTCTGTTCTTCGAACTCTTCACCCAATTTAAATGAAATGCTGAATGTTCGCACCGTTGATGACATGACCAAAGTGTATTGATCACCTTCCTTTTTCAACTCAATCGTTGATTTCGCTGAGTTTGCAAGTTTACGTAGAACAAATCCGACACCTGCACAAAAAAACGCATTAAGCACTTGCCGATAATTGTCCAATTCAAATAAAGTAATTCAAGTTAATTCATTTTGAAAAAAAAAAATTCTGCAACAAGACAAAATTAGTTGAACATTCTTCAAGAGCAGAACATTGGGTCCGTTGGCTGTCCAGCCGCTGCTATTCAACAGTACTGTTCAACGGCAACTGTCAATACATTTATCCATTTCACCATAAGTTGAACATATTTAAAAGATAAATTTCTGTCTAGAGGTACAAGTAGAGGACAGTGAACGAGGAGAAAAAAAAATACAAACGATAATTCATTGACACCAAGTCCCGCCATACAAAAGCCGGTATCTATCGATCGATGAAAATTATCGAACGTTTTTTCCCCCTTTATCTCTGTTAATCTCTATCGTTTCTGCCACGTGGTCATGCACTTTAGACTTGTGAGCTGTGTATTTGGAGTGGTTCAATACCATAATTATTTTCACTTTGTCGTCTATCATTCAATATGGTTCGATTGATCTTACAGGATTTCCATCTAAGTTTTTTTTCTTCTTTCTTTCTCCCCCTTGCCACAGGTTGGGAACACCTGATATTTTCCACACGAAATAGCGTTTTTCAGTGAATAAAATAAAATATTCGGGAAAGACCTACATCATTACAATTTGTGTTTGACAAACATACTAAATCTGTAATTCGTGCATATGTTTCAGTAAAATTTCGCCAACTTTATAGCTAGATTAAACACTGCAAAAAGAACCAACAAAGTAGTTCCTTCTGATATATGTTATTTTATTCACTGAAAAATTGCTATTTTGTATTCAGAAATTGTTTCCAAACTATTGCAGGTTAGTGTGTATAAAATGGAATTTTGACCTCAACACTTACCGAGTGCCTTCATGTATTCGTCAAAGTTCTTCGATTCGGTCAACTTGTAGGCTTTTCCTTCCCAAACTTCTGGCATTTTGAATTCTAAGTTTGTAAAATTACTTGTAAAATAAATTTGACAAAGAGTATTTAGTTAGAATGACTTGTATTATTTGGATTTTACACAGCGAGCACAAGTACGTTGTACTGTATACTTCTGTCAATCGTACTCTGAATGAAGGCAGCTAACACTCAACCGTATATATATATATATAAATTGAATTGCTTTAAAAGTAGTTATCGTTCCATATGTATCAAGGTGTGTATTGTGGAAGCGGCAAAATAGCGGCTAGACAATCTCAACTGTGTAGTATCGCAATCTACAAAACCTGTTTTACTATAAATTACACAGACACAGTGACACACATCAAAGGTATCAATTTTTGTCGTACTGTATTTACTGCAATCAGTTTCGCGAGAAACAGTAACAACTTGATGCATATTTACGTACTCTTATTTGACACAAACTATATCAACAAAAACTTGAATTCTCTTTTAACGATTTTTTGTCAAATGTACTCAAGCATTTCTTTCATGTTATTATTTGAATTCTTTTTGAGTCTCTCAGAAAATATCTTCGTTTATTTTTTTTCTTCAAAATTCATTCAAATCGAAGTGAGTTGAATCACCTGAAATGAAAAAAAAAACTGGATCCAAATAAATTAAAACTGCCAATTGTGTTTACTCTATCGATTTTGTTCACATTTATTTTTATCGCTTAAAATGCCACATAAGATTGGTTTTACTTAAATATTTTGTAATTTCATTGTCATTAAATTAAATATAATACATGTCGATATGCTTCTGCTCTACGTTAAATACCGATTATAATATATTGATATCAAAAATTCTGGAAATGGAGAGTAAAATTGATGTTCTTTTTTTGTTGTAAAATTAATTTCGAGGGAGATAAATTTCAGCCTTGAACTCGAAACAATGCCAATGTTTCGGCATTTTGTTTCGTTTGAATATTCAGTTTAGGCACAGGTTATTATTTTTTTTTTTGTTGTTGACTCTTAAACAATCATTCACAGAAAAAATAATTGCTTCGATCAAATTCGGAAAAACTTATTCCGATATACCTATCAATACTATGCTAACGTTGAAATCTACTCAAACATTTAAATACTTATGGACTAACGTTGTAAATTCCTATAGAAGAGGTCCTATGTTAAAGCAGAGGACAAAGTGAGATTGGGCGAGTAGACAAATAAACAGACAGAAGAAAAAAAATTCAAATAAATTTAAACACACTCTTTTTTCTTTGTTAACAACAACGTTTTCTATATCCGTCTATGAAATAGATGACTTAATTCGATTGGAGGATGATGACTGTATTTCAAATTGATGCGTTTCTGCGGTGCACGCTCACTCTTTGCATCCAGATTTATTCTTTGCATCCAAGTCCAGCGCTCCAATTACAGATGCCACCAACTGGATCATAGCTCAAACCTTTGGGACACGTATATTCCCAACCGACAACGCCTCCAATTTCCATTTTTGCACAGGATATGAACTTTCGACACGACAGTGGATGCGGGAAATTGCCCTGATCCAAACATTCAATTATGCCAGCATCATGCAGAATGACTTTTACCTGTCCCAAACCGAATGCAAAAGAGGAAAGCATTTAATTGATTTACCTTGTAAATTTCCGTTTTACGTCAAAATTAATTACCTTTGACGTGGATCTGCCAATGATGCTGTCATCATCATCGTAGTAATCGTAGTCGCTTGCCGGACGAAAAGCGATTTTTTTCGGTTTTTCTTTCAATGTGGCCGTCACTTTTGCATTTGGATCGGAATTTAAATTGCTCTGGCTAAATGTTCGAATTACTTTTTGGGTACGTTTAAAATCACGCGATGGTCGAGCTTGACTGTCCTGTATTTCGCTGTGTGGTAACAACAATTCGGGCCCCACCGTCGATGAAAAGTGTTGCGATGGCTTTATTGCTGTGAACGAGGTTTATTTAATTACTCTCATAAATTCTGTGCAATCACCAAATATGACGGTGATGGTGACTCAGACACATTTCGATTTTAATAACTCTATTTATACTTACATCCACTGGACAGAGAATCGGCTCGTTTCGATATTTGATATTCCGTATCATCGTCGTATTTTACTGCTCCGGGTGTTGTAATCTTCACATTACGTACAGTTGTCGATACAACGAATGGCAAAGGTGCACGCGAAATTGATGTGATAGCTTCACCTAAGCCCTGGCTTATAATTTCGGTACCCAAATCGATTTGATTGCTTTGCGAGAACTTTCTATTGTCAACAATGCTTGGCTCATGGTCTTGATCCGATGAATGACGGGCGCTACCAATGCCAGAAATTGACACTGTTTCCGGTTCTATCGTCGTAGTCTTTGGTAATTTTGTTGTTGATGTGTACCCAAATCGTCGACGGAATAATGGATTAGGTGTTCGACGTGTATTTTCGACTGTCACTGCTAAAGAAGAGAATGGAAGAAAGAAGGAAATTACATTTCAAATCAAATCAAATCACTATCTCAAATGAAGCATATGGCATTTTTAAGCGAACAGATAAAAAAAAACAACAAAATCGTTTATTCTCGTTTTCATTTCGTCTATATCCAAAAATGACAAGCGAAAAAATGCGGTGTGGGTTTAAAATACGCATAAATTCAGCGATAAGCGTATACAATCACGACGTTTTACGAGATGATTATCAAAAATTGACTGTTTAATTAGCATTTCATTGTGTATTATTCACTGAACGAAAAAAAAAAATCGAAAAAAAACGAAATCACACCATTCGCTTCACCTGATTCCGTTGTTGGACGAGTTTTTGTTGGTGATACACGTTTCCTTTCGCTTGCGTTGTTCGTTGTCGCAACAACAGCAGCAGCTGAGGATGATGATGGGCGCCCGAATTTTCTGCGTTGAAGAATTTTGTTAACGATCGTGTCGTTGTTACGATTGGCAACGGTAGATGCGATTGCAGCGACGGTTGTGTGCGATGTTGTGGGGATATAGGTTGGTCGCGATCTTCTTCGCACGTATGGACTGTTGGAGCTCTTGCGCGTCGTAACTGAAGCGGATGATTCAGTCGTGTCGGTGATATCATTTGATTGCGTTGGTTTCGATTTCTTCTGCACGCTGATCGATGGACGACGGAACCCAGGACGATATTGTGGACGAACCTACGAAAATAATAACGATTTAATTTTGTGTGGTGCTCGTTTTTCTCTCTCGAAAAACTGAGTTACTGAAAGTGTTCCCATTTATCAACTTTAACTAGTGCAAAACCAAATTATTTGATCGTTTTTTTTTCTCAAAATATTTTTTGTTACTCAATAAAGAATTTTTCTGCTTTGTTTTGTGTTTGTGTGTTTTTTTTGTGTTGTTGTTGTTGTTGCGTTCTTCTTTTGCCTTAATCATTGTTTCCATGAGTGGCTTTCTTTTTAGTTGGTCTACTTGATTGCTAATTTTAGCGACGATGATTTCATAAGTCCCGAAAATTAGTCATGTTGAAATTTCGAATCGAATTCATATGTGGATTAGTACTTGAGTCTACTTAATTGTCATTGAAATTGATTAGTTTGTGGAATGTGCGTTGTTTAATATGCCAAAAGAAATGAATAAGAAACCAAAAAATGCCTACTATTGCATCTACTGAGGGGAAAAAAAGAGTATAACTACTTGAATGATCTACGTTTTGGATTACTTCATTACAAAGAGTGAACCTACTGAAATGTGTCACATTTTTCAATGAAATCTCAAAAGTACGACTTGATTCTCGCCGCCGATCGCATTGAGAATTGCCCAATTTGGCAATATTGGTTTACCGCACATTTTCGCAAAAAAAAACTGACGAATCAACGAAACTTTTTGGAATGTGATCATTTAAAATAAAACCGAGAGTTCCTTTTACAAAGCAACGCAATGCTTACTTTCGTTTTTCATCGCTCTACCAATCTTCGATTCAGTTCGGTTTCTGTTCACAATTTGCTCTTTTCGAGCACCACATTTTCTGTTGTCAGTCGATAAAAAAATGTAGTTCATTAAAGTCAGGGAGAAAAAAAACCAAAGGGAACATTTTGGCTACGTTCGCAATGCGAACTTCACATTCAATGTGATAAAAAAGCATGTCGACTGAGAATGAAAACGAAAATTTATGCTGCTCAATTTTATCGGATTTTGGTTACCGTTTACATAACGTCCATGAATTGGGATTGTGATCATTCAAAAAAGTATTGGAAGATCTGATTTTCAATGAAATTCGATTCCACCGTCTGCGCATAAGCAGTCGTTTGTCCTCGTCTCATTTCGCTTTTTGTGTGAATATTTAGGCATTCTTTTCCCTTTTTCAGACATCTGAATTAATTAACTGACAAAACGTCTTCAACAAAATGCTTTTAATCCACATTATTAAAACGGAAATTAGTCAGTTGTCCATCATTCAAGATGATGAATACAAAAAGTGAGAGAGAGAGAAATGTATTCCCATCACATTGGAGACTGATTAGCATTTGAATAATTTCAATGGTTTTTTTTTCTCGTTGTGATGCACGCAAATTATTAAATTTTTTTTGTTTTATTTCGAATGGACGTTACATAATCCACTGAAAAGAGATTCACCTGCTGTCGTATCGAATTTGCATCGCATCGATTGGAAATGAAGCGTGCTGTTCAAATGAAAGCGAATGAATTACACACGAGCTCACTAACGTGAGCATTTCGAATTTGATGCTCGTTCGCACAATCTCTGAATCTGCTTTGAAATTGATATGCGCGCTGTGTGTGATGTAGCAGCTGTGAGGCTTTCAAAAATGTCGTGTATTTTTTGTCATGTTCAGCATATGAAAATTAAGTAAAATGTCAAGGAGACGACAAAATCAGTACATTATTATCGATATTGATGACATTCCGCATCACAATAAATCATTGTCACCGTGGAATGAATCGCACAAAATACAATACATCATCAAACCGAAGGTCCATGATAAATGACAATCTGTCGAAAAACAAAAATAAATTCGATTTCCTATTCCACGTGTACTGAGATTGCCCGATGAACGATGGAATCATCATGACCGTTTGCCATTTAACCAGATACTTTGACTGACGATTTACATAATGAAACCGAAAGTATCAGCTCATTGATATTGATTGTTGCCACTCAAGCATGGACAGATAACTGACGATGAAAATAGGCAAAAACTTGAAATTGACCAATAATTTATGTGGCGTTTTTTTTTTTTTGGTTTGCGAGTAGTAAGTATATGGTCATCATCTAATTGGATGATGACCAATCTTATCGCCACGCAATGCGCATCACCAATATGGACGCAGCTTTGGGCGGATGACTTTGAGACGGCGCTTTAACTCGAAGCGATATTTTGTAATTTTGTTTTCTGCCATTTTTTGCTTCGCTTCATTACGTACGACTGATGGAATTTACATAAAACACCATCGTTGTTGAAAATTACGCATTAAAAACATCTGTATATTATTAAAAGTTTCTGTTTTGATCAATAAAGTATTCTTGAACCAATGTATTGGTTGAACTTTGATATTTGCGTGTTTTTAAATTTTTTTCCATCATTTTTTTGTTGTTTTTATGCTTTTTTCGAAACGTTTTTTGGCGGACGTTTTTGACATGAGTCAGAAATGATGTGTATTATCTTCTCTTGCATTTCTCCAGAGGGCAATGCAACGTAGGGAAACGAATTTTGCCGTACGGATCGCTATATCAATTTGTGCGTTTGAAGTGGGCACATTACAATGAATTCATGAATAGCCGCACCACGAACATTGAAACCGGTTCGTTGATTCTTCCAATTGTGATACAATGCGTTTGTTAACGACAGACAAAAAAAGTTTTCGTTTTATTTTTAGATGTTTGCGGTTAAAATCAGAGGCGAGAAAAACGTCTTCTTTTTCATTTAAATTACCAATGTTCACCATATTTTTATATAATCTACAGGAAATTCCTTTGTGGCTTTTATTAATGTGGCCCAAAAAGGTATCAAGTTAAAAAATTATAATAATTGACTTGAAAGAACTTAAATAATAACAAATAAACTACTATAGGTATTGTTACTAAAAATGACTGATAATTTAAAAATACAATTTTTTTTCTTCCTTCATATAATATATAGTTGGTATGCAGTCAACGAAAGCAGTATGATTTTTTTTTCTTGCATATTATAATCGGGTGAATTATAATATTGAATATTTCATTAAAATCATATTGATTTTGTATGACTTGAGTCTATGTCTACCCTCTAAAAAAAATGGTTATGTTTAGGCTTCGGTGAAGCGTTTCTTTTGGATTGCTCTATCAACTAAACAAAACTATGATTAACATGGCCGAAATTGCAATAATTTTTTTTCTTTCATTTTCTTCTTTCTCCAATAATTTCACCTTCACTTTGGAATTATTGACAATTACATTCGCTACAACACAGCAAATCGCAAATTTCCTTCTTATCCATTTTGGCTACAACAATTCGCTGAATCTTCATACAAACAATATGGCTTTTATGTAAATTTTAAGGCAAGCAGAAAGTCTTGACAATGACGCCGAATTGTCAGACTGATGTTTAAAAAATTAACTTCAATCGAAATGAACCATCAATTCAAAAATTATATGGTTTTTGAAATGAAATTAAATGAAATCATTGACACATATTATCTATTGTGTTTACGGTGGAAAAGTATTGAGTTAGTGCATGGTATCAAGTGTTATGTACATGAAAGAGTTGTGTGTGTGTGTGTTTCTTTGATTAGTTAAATTGTCGAATCGTCTTAATTGGTCATGAATTTTGATGTCGTATTCTACTAAATGTGTTGATACTTGAGAGAGAAAAAAAGGGTGTCCGAAATTAAGTCAAAAACTCCAACAAAAAAAAAACTACCAGTATTAAAGAAAAATCCATCCATTAATCCCACTTCTCTTAAAGATTGATATAATAATCATATTCTACCGCCGCACGTCGTCTGTATAATGTTTATAATGTTCGATATGCGGGAAACTACATCGACAACCATCTAGCACAAATGGAGGTATTGATAAACAAAATTATATACACAAAGTAAAATCAAGAAACAAAAACCGTTGAATGAATGTGATCCAAAACCTTTGCTACATGAATGCATACCGCATTCCAATACAAAAAACAACCGAACAATACGATAAGGAAATAGACTGCAAAAATTATTCTCGTTTTGTTGAATCAAACACAAAAATTAAATGAATGTAATAAAAAAATATAATAATATAATGCCCATGCGCTCTAGGAGAATGAGGTGGAATGGCATCGAAACGATGCTGGATCAAAATGGAAATATAAATTTGAATTGGGGATATTGATTTTAACGTAATTCACTGTAAATTTGGCCCAAAAAAAAACAAGAACCAAAAAACAATTTGTATTTACGTGTCACTAACCTCCTCAGATGGGGCATCTGTATCGCTAGGTGCATTTGTTCGTTTTAATTGTGACAATTTGACTTTTGTTTGGGTTATTTCGCTGCTGTAACTGGTTTGTGTGTTTACAACAGGCGAACCAGACTCATCTATGTTATCTACTGTGCTGTGTTCAACTACTATATGCGGTGCATCAATAATTGTGCTTACCTTCCCGGAGGAAGCAACCGCACCATCGAATGCATTTGCTTTGGTGTGTTTTGTTGTTGTTGTGGTGGTTGTTGTTGAGTTTTTCGGTGGTAATTGGCTTAGGACGACATTGTCTAAATTGGCTAATGAAATGACTAATGGCGGTGCGGAATCGTTAATTTGCAATGTATTTGGTTGATCGGCCTTAACAACATGAATGTCGTTCACGGCATCGGCCGTTGTATCGCCGAAATAATCGACAACGGTCGTCTGTGCCACCGACGATGATTCGGTTGTGCTTTGAGGTATAAACACTGGACTTGGACTGCTTCTCAAATAGGAATCGTCCGATGTGGTTGCATAGACGATGTTCAATTTTTTACCACTACGATCAGTTTGGAATAAACCTTCGAGCGGTATGGTTGACGTTTCAACACTGAATATATTGTCGGGCAATATGATTTGCCGCGATTTTTTCTCTTGCACTTTTTTCGGCGATACATTGTCGTCATCGGTAGCCGGCCGTGCCGTTGTCGTTAGAAATGTTAAAAATTCCTTGGCCTTAGCATTTGTATCATTTTGATGATCAACCAATTTAATCAATGTAACACGATTGATTTCACCGAGCTTATTTACGGTTGGCAAACGTTCGATTATCAAATTAGAGTTTTCCGTTTTGGGTCTACCATTCGGACTGCTGCGTTGAATGGTTTGTCTTCGCTGTTGCGAATACACCTCAACAATACGACTCACTTCGGCCAATTTTTCCACCTTTTTCGAGATAACCTCCGCATTTGGATCATCTTGGCCAATTTCATTTGGCTTTTGACTATTTTTAAAATGTTTTTCTAATGGATTCTCATCATAATCGATGGCAAATACATGATGATACGTGGTTGGTTTGACCGTGGTCGGTGTGGCCATTGTTGGTTTCGCGTACTTTCGAGATGGTTTGATGGTCGCCGTTTCCTGTAAGTTATCTACTAAATTTATTGAATTCAAATAATGTTCAGTGGGTATGTTGTCGGTCGCAGACCGTTCTTGTTCAAATGATTGATCTTGTTCGTTTATGGCATTTATGGATGTATATATGGTTGTTGTGGTTGCATCACGACTATCATCATCGTCAGTTAGTGTATTTGTGTTAGATTCAACATCATCATTGACACTCGATTCGGTGCCAATGAATTGTTGATCAAATGATGGGTTTTCTGTGTGCGCCAATTCATAGATTGGTGTATCTGTAAATGTATGTTCATCCTGTTCTGTGTTAGTATTGAACGGTGATGATTGTTTTTGATCGTTGGATGTGGTGGTTTTCAAGAATTGACTGTGTTTTTTACTATTTTTGTTAAACAAATTATGATTACGAACATTGAGTGCGTTCACATTGACACCATCTAAAACTACTGTCGCCTCGGTTGTACTTTGTGTCGGGCGTTTTACAAACGGCCGCAACGAGGCTGGATGAATGCCCACATTACTTGTTACCGTATTTTTCGAGAATTTATTCGAACGGTAGCCTTTCGAAACAAATCTTGACTGAGTTTGAACCTCTTCGGATTGATTTTCAACATTTTCTCCATTTTGATTTTCTTCGACATTTTCTTGTAATTGATCGGCAGAATCGTCAGTTGGATTGTTCGGCAATTTAAAGACTTTTGTGAATTTACGAGTAAAACCACGACTTGTAACCGGTGAACCGGATTCGTTGGATGGTTCAGTTGCTGTACTCAAACTGAATGATGGTCGTGGAGGACGAACTGTGATACGACCTCTTGTGAATTTCGATGAATAGAATGGCTGTGGCCTTTCCGCCTCCTGATCAGTTTGATCGCCCGATTGATCATTTTCTTCCTTTGTTTCATCGAGGTTATTCACAATTTCTTCCTTTGTTCCGATCAATTGTTTACGGCTTGTTCGCAATGATGCCGGTCTGAAACCTCTTATTCTCTCATGAGTTCGGACTTCTTGTTCAGCACTTTCGCTTGATGATTCTGGCGTTTCCTCTGGCGCAGCTGTAGTTGTACGAAGCTTCTTTCTGCGCTTGATCAAGTTGCTGTTCAGATTGGCTCTTTGAGCCGCTAGAATCCGTGTTTTAACACCGGGCCGTACAGTCGTTGTTGTACTCGGTTCAATAATTGCTTCGGAACTTGTTTCCAAATTCAGTTCTGAGTTTGATTCTGTTTTTATCTCCAAATCCGATTTGCTTTCTTGTTCACCAGCTTCACTGTTCAATTCGGTTGCAGTTTCCTCACTTGCACTTTGCGTCGACGATACTTTTGCCGATTCACTCAAATCATTATAAACTTCAGTGCTTGCAATCAAATCGCTCAATGTGCCCGCTTCAATGTCATTTGACTCAAAGTTCACTTGAGTAACGCCAACTTCATTCGCTTCCGTTGCGCCGATTTCATTGATCTCTGTGCCGAATTCAGTGGCACTGTCTTCAACGATAATATTTTCGGTGGTCGTTGTAATTGGAGCTCGTGTGGTAGTTTTACGATTTGCAAAAAGTTTTCGATTGACTTTCAAACGTTCGGTTCTTGTTGTCTCAACCTCTTCAGTTTGTTCGGGTTCAACTTGAGGTGCTTTTGTTCCCAATCGAATTCGACCACCGGCTGCACCACGAGCCAAACTCTCTTCGATATTTATTGGTTTGAATGATGTGATCTTCTTTCGTTTGTATGTTGGGCGCGATCGTGGTGTTGATTCAGCGTTACTCTCTTCACTCACTTGCTCTTGCTCTTGCTCTTGTTCTTGTTCTTGATTTTCAGCCGATGCTTCGGTGGTTGTGAATCGAGTTCGGCCGAATGGACGCCGATATTGCTGCTTTGAGCGTGTCTGTGAAAATGAACTTAGTGAATTTGTCCTTTCAGAACTGCCTTCATTTGTCTGATTATCGACATTCTCCTGATCATTCTCATTCACTTCTTCAGTCGATCCGGTTGTGCTTGTTCTTGTTTTCGAACCAAATGGACGGCGACGAAGGACTGGAATTCTAACGCGCAGTTTTGTGCTTGCATTTTCATTCGAATTTCCTGTTTCGTTTTCATTACTCACATTTTCTTCAGCATTTTCATTCAACTCTTCCGCTGACTCAGTGGTCGTGGTGGTTCGTTGAGCGTATGGACGTTTACGAAAGATTGGAATACGAACACGAGTGGTATTTTTTTCAACTTCGCTTTGATTTTCTTCTACATTTCCACTGGTATTCTCGTTGACATTTTCGTTTCCATCATTTTCACTCACTTCTTCAACCGATTCGGTTGTGGTGCGTGTTCTTGAAGCGAATGGTCGTCGGCGAAGAGCCGGAATTCGCACACGAGTATTTTCATTGCCTGTGTTTTCTTCAACGTTCTCGTTGGTATTTTCACTTTCATTTACTTCCTGAACCGATTCAACTGCGGTGCGAGCTCTCGAAGCGAATGTTCGTTGACGAAGACTCGGGATTCGGAGACGTGTATTTGAGCGTTGATTTTCATTGTCTGTGTTCAAACTTTCACCGCCATTTTCATTCAAATTTGAGTCGGAACTTTCAAACAATTCTTCGGCTGATTCAGTTGTAGTGGTTCGTTGAGCGTATGGCCGTTTTCTGAAAACTGGAACTCGGATACGAGTGTTTTTATTCTCATCTTCGCTTTGGTTTTCTTCGGCATTTTCATTGGTACTCTCGCTGACGCTTTCATTATCATCATTTTCACTGACCTCTTCAACCGATTCAGTTGTAGTGCGAGTTCTTGAAGCGAATGGTCGTTGACGAAGACTCGGGATTCGAACACGTGTATTTGGGCGTTGATTTTCATTGTCTGTGTTCAAACTTTCACCGCCATTTTCATTTTCATTCAAATTTGAGTCGGAACTTTCAAACAATTCTTCGGCTGATTCAGTTTTGGTGGTTCGTTGAGCGTATGGCCGTTTTCTGAAAACTGGAACTCGTGCACGTGTATTTCCATTTTCATTTTCATTATTCAAATTTTCATTGGAATTCTTCTCTTCTATCGTTTCGGCTGCCTCCGTTGTTGTTCTTGCACGTTGGAAAGATGGTCGTTGGAAAGGAGGTCTTCGTCTTAGACCATCCGTACTTTCTTCACGAATGTATGTTCGCTGTCGGATTGAATTGATCTCATCATTCTCAACACTCACTGTATCAAATTCGGGAGTATTTTCAGTGGAGCTTTCGCTATTTTCTTCTAAATTTGCAGCCTCGGTGGTTGTGGTTCGGAAACGTCTTCTTGGAAATTGAACATGTTCACGCGTAGCTTCTTCATTACTTTGTGAATTTTCTTCGACATTTTCGTCTTGAACGTTTTCGTCTTGAGCATTTTCATTCAATTCCGACACTTCAGTGGTTGTGGTCGAAAAGCGTCTGCGAGGAAATGGTCGTCGTTGGCGTGTGGCTTGAATGTCAATATTCTGTTCATTTCGTTCGTTTTGATCATTTTCTGCTTGTGAAACGTTTTCCTCAAGAGTGGCCTCAGTGCTGGTTGGTCTACCTTGAATACGACGACGACGTGATTCAACCGTGAATGTTCGATGTTCGCCACTATTATCGGCATTTTCCGCATTGATGGCCGTTTGAGCTCGAACTCGACTACGGAAGATTTTGCGTCGTCGTTCATCATTTCGTGTCACTTCGCCGGTTTGAGCAATTTCCGAATTTTCATTCTCATTCGCCAATTGAGTTTCAATCGAACTACTTTCAACTCGTTGTCCATTGACCGGTCGTCGTCTAATTACAACATTCCGATGCGGTGGATTCGATGGAGTTGGACTGTTTGGTTCGAAAACTTGGCCATCGGTCGTTTCACCTGAATTCAAATTGGATTTAATGTCGCCGGTTTCAGTGATAACTTCAAGACTTGCCAACGATGGGCTTTCATTCGATTGCTCAGTTGATGATTGCTCGCTGGATGTTTGTTCAACGCTTGCTTGGTTTTCTTCCTTTTCCAAAGCAGCTCCTGAGTTTGCAGTCAATTCAACATCCAATGTGTTGATGGCATTGGCCAAATTTGCCAACGAGCTGGGGCTAGCTGGACTAACCACAGTCGTCTCGGTGGTTGATCCGAAAAATGGCACAACCGATGAACTTTGATGCAATCCGATATTTTCGGTTGGATTTTCAAGTTCAGCGCTAGCAGTAACCAGATTCAAATAACGATTGACTGTGTCTTGTGATGCTTTGACACGACCTCTGTACACTTTTTGCTGAGTTCTTGCCGTTGAGCTTGGGAATTCTTCATTTGACGCCAAATTTTGTTCGGTGGTTGTCGAACTGAACCTTCTTCTTGATTGCAATCGACGCCGTTCGTTGAAATCATTTTCAGTGGAAACACTTACGTCAATCGGTGCTGCAGTTGTGGTTCGTCTAATCGATGGTCGTCGTCGTCGATTCGCATTTGGTGGCAATGATGAGCTTTCATAAACTGCTTGTGCAGTGCTTGATACTGGGTACTCTTGTTCATTTGTTTCGGATGAACTTTCAATGGAGCTCACGCTATTTTCCTCCAAACTTGATGTTTCGGTACTTGTCGTTTGGAAACGTTTTCTAGCAAATTGAATTCGTTTGCGAACAAATGCTTCATTCTCCTGTGATGGCTCTTGAACACTTTCAGTTGAGCTGCTCAAAGCTCCTGAGTTGGCCGTCAATTCAACGTCCAATGAATTTAAAGCATTTGCTAAACTGGCCAAATTATCTGGATTTGCTGGACTAACTGCATTAGCTTCAGCAGCCGCAGCAGCAGCAGTGCTTGACTCAATTGCAAGTGGTACTTCGGTCGATTGGAATGCAACATCTTCGCCATGTAGAGCATTAATGGCTTTGGCAATATTTATCAAATTACCTGTACTTGGAGTCACACGTGAAACAAACTTTGCTTTTGTAGTTGTTTCAACCGATTCGGTTGATGCGAAACTATCGATAATTTCTTGAATTTCTTCGACTTTTTGTCTGAATAAGCGATCAGTGCCGTACTGTTCTTCTTCATTCGTAGTACTTTCGATTGCGTCTAAAACAATTGGAACGTGTTTGTCATAGTCGCCAATTAAATTTAGCAGAGACTCAGTTGTAAGCGGCAATTCAGTACTTGAGGGAGTGTCAATTTGAGCATTAGAATTGGTATTTATGTTAACATTTAAACTTGGATTCAAATTGGAATTCAAATTTGCATTCAAATTCAATGCATTGAAATCAACTTGGGGTGGGATTTTGGCGGAAAAACGATTTGGATGTAAGAAAATAATGGGCGAATCGCCACCTGGTCTTTTACTAAATGGCTTCTTCCGTTCGACGGCATTCAATCGATTTTGGAATGAAGTGTCAATGTTGATTTTTCGAGCCAATGGCACAACAGTTGGCTGATCGTCTGAATCCGGAACAGCTGAAGTTGTCTCGGTCAATGGTGCATCACGGCTTTGTTCAACAAATGAATCTTCTTGGCTTGAAACACGTGTTCGGCTTTTAAATCTATTGCCACCTCGACGTAAAGTGCTTCGAGGTGTCGACGGAGCTGGTTGTTGGAATTCTTGTTCTTGTATTTGTTCATTTCCTTGATTTTTCGCATGAAATTCTTCTTTATTTTCTCCAAAAACAGCTTCAGCTCGATTGGATGTTCGTCGATTTGAACCACGGCCACGTGATCGAATGGCCTGTTGTTGCGTATTCTTTCTACTCAAATCGATTGAAGTCAACGAACTAAAATCGTAACTCATTTGATCGGGGCGATAGTTTCTATCACCTTGATCAATGTTTGCCGAAATTGCTGGCAATCCATTTGAAGTTTCTTGCAACAAATCCTTCAATTGCGGTCGATAACGACGCGATGGTGATTTTTGACGAATAACATTTGCGCGATCGTTATTTTTTGCACTGTATTCATTTCCTTGAACCTCATTTTTGGCTTCAGTTTCTGTATTTTCCACATTCTGTCGAACGATATTATAAGTCACATGTCGTACATTGTCATCCAATATTGGATTTGACGGCTTTTGATTGTCAATGTTTAAATTTCTGGCCGGTGGTCGTGTACGTAGACGACGATATACCGTTCGTTGTGTCGATGACACATCCGATTGTTCGGTTGTTTGTTGCTTATTTACACGAGATTTGTTTCTAAATCGAGTATTAGCAGAAGAAGCGGTTGGACTATTTACAATAGGAGAGACAGTAGTGGTAGAAAAAGAAGAAGAAGAAGGAGCTTCAGAATTATTAGAAGATAGAGAATCAGAGGTTTGAATACTATGTGAGGTCAAATCGTTTGTATATTCATCGTTATTTGTCGCATTTGCAATCGAGTAGAGCGTAACATTCAATGCATCATCGTTGTTTGCATTGTTGCCACTTACCTGCAAACCTTGTAATTCTTTTGTGAGTAAATTCTCGATAACAAGATTATTGCCAACGTTGTCATTGTTTTGATTGCTTGCGACACTCACCTTGGCATCGTTATCTGAGCCATTATCAGCGACGGTGGGCGTTAATTCAGTGGTACTGGTTGTTGTGGTGGTGGTTGTTCCACGTGTTCGTTTCGTAAACGGTCGTGGGCTTGAAATGCCACCACCATACGTCGGCTTAAACATAGACGACACCGACGACATTTCGATTTGATTGCTTTGCGTAGTGACAAATTCATTTTGATGATGATCAACTACAAAAGAACTTGGAGTGACAGTAGGACTAGATGGATTTTCGGTCGGTAAAGAAGTCGTTGTCAATTTTGAACCTATCAAATGTTCTTCTTGGTCAGTCTTTGCTTGACCTTGGTCGGTGTTGACGGACGAAAAGGAAAACTTTGAATTGGTTAAATTGGGCTGATTAGTCGGTATTAATTGGGGATCGGTGTCACTTTTTTTGTTATTGTTACTGGTCAAACTATCGTCATCGCTTATGAATGCATTTGAATTTGTGTCAATGTTTGATGTCAATGTACTGGTTAGTTCTATGCCTAAATCATTTAATTGTGTTGGCGAATTGGTTGTGTATTGTGATTCGTGTGTGTTTGTATTATCGTTTGCGTTATTTGTTGTCACTTTGGACGTTGTCGTGCTGGGATAAGGATATGACGATGATGTTTGTGGTGTGGAATATTGTTCTGTTTGTATTGTAGTTGTACGGCGATTTAAACTGCCATAAGATCGTGTTGATGTTTCAGGTGTTTGTGTAAAATGATTATTTACGCTTTCTACCGTTGTTGTTGACGATGAAACACGTTGGCCATCCAATCGGTCGTCATCTTGGTCGTCATCTTGGTCGATTATGCTGACTTGAGTGGTTGTTGGACGTTTACGGCTCACCGTTTGATATCTGGAAAATTTGAAGGAAAAAACGTGTTATTGTTCACTCCAAGCAGATTGGAAATTATTGAATTTTCCCAAAAATGCAAAAGTTTAGATGAAATCTATCCACGCTTACTTTGTCTCCGGAGCGGGTGTTTCACTTTCAATTTCATCTGAAATGTATTGTTGTTTTGTGGGTCGAATCCGTTGAATGTTGACATACTGCATTTTGGTTGTGGTTGTCGGTTGAACTGAAGCTGGCTGCTCATCTTCTTCCTCCTCGGCTTCATCATCGCTTTCGTTACCGCGGTCTTCGACCGGTGCAGCTGTGCTTGATGGTCTAGCTCTTTGAATGTTTACATAACTGAAAACTGGTTGATGCGTTGTTGGACCCTTGTTGTCATCTTCATTAACATTCTCAACATTTGCTGGCGTAGCGTTGCCAATTTCACTTTCTTCTTCCGAATCGTGTGTTTTTGGTGCTTGAGTGCGTGTGATTGTTGTGTATTGAGGTCTCTCTCGAAAGATGCCACCACCTTCAACTTCTGGTAATTGATCGAGTCCATCGTTCTGTGGTCGTGGTCGACTATTTCGGATAACGGACGAGTAACGGTTCTCTTTATTTTGTCGTTGAACCAATGGTGCAATTTCGCTTTCAGTATTCGATGATGTGCCACTGCTAATTATTTTTTGTGTGCGAAGGCTGCCACGCTTTGTACCAAGAACTTTGTTATACAGTGATTGGCTGATTGGAGAAACGGTTGTAGTTGTAGTTGTCGTTTTATCAGTGCCACCGATTCTTGAATATGCGACCGAGTTTTGATTCAATCGCATTTGCAGTTGTTTTTCCAATTCATCGAGACCGCCTACTTTTTTAATCAAACTAATCAATTCTTTGATCACCTCTGGATCTTCTTCTTCAAGTGCGTGTTCGATTTTCGTGTTAACCGTTTTTGTATCTTCTTCTGGTGCTTCTTCTTCTTCATCTTCATCGTATTCTTCCTGCGAAAATGAAAAAAAACATGAAAAATGAAATCAATCTTCACTTTTACAGAAGAAAAAACTTTTCCCATCAATTAAATCGAAAAACATACCTCTTCTTCTTCTTCTTCTTCTGGTTGAGCCGTTGTTGTTGTTGAAGGTCTTCCAATAATAATGCTCTTTACCGTTGATGAAACTTTGGTTGTACTTTCCGTTGTTGCACTAAAAAAAAAACACACACACAGGCAGAGAAATAATTGCCGTTAACGTTGCGTATCCAAAAAGTAGACCATGTATAAAGCAATTTACCTTTGTGTTGTTGCTTTTGGTTTATCGCACTGAACATTACGCGTATAATCGCATGAATCGGTGAGTTTGTTGAATACTAAACCAGATGGACAAGTGAATTGATGGGCAACAATGCCTAAATTCGATGGACCACTGTCCAAACACCAGAAATACTTTTTACAATCTCTTGGATGCTGAAAGAAACCTTCTTCTTCGCATTTGAAATCAGAACCTGGATCTGGTGTGGTTGGCGGTGGTGGAGTTGTTGTACGAGCACTTGAGTATTGGACTGCTTCTTTTGTGGCTGGACTACTTGTTGGCTTTCGTCGCGAGCTGCTTGGTCGTCGTTGTGTGGTCTTTTCCTCATCTTGATCGTTCACATTGTTGGTTTTTGAGCTCGCATTTGTTCGACTGCGTGAACGGCTTGGCTTCTTACGCCTGGCTGGAGTCAGGACTTCATTTTCGTTGCCACTTTAAATTTTAAAACAATTATTTAATAAATTAATGGAATAAATTGAAATTTTGAGTCAAGGCAAGTGACTTAATGGGGAAAAAAGTGAATTAATTGGAATGTAATTTACCCAATTTTGTTGAGCATAGCTTCTTTGGCTGCTTCAATGATTGGATACGGTCTACCATGACATGTGCCACGGAAATCATCGTTATCAATTGACCAAAACATAATTCCACCCAAGCCATTTGCCACTACATATTCTCCCTTCTTACGAGCGATCGCCTCATCATCATAGCCAACCCATTGATTTTCACGGAATGCATACGGGCCCATTGCATTTGGATTTGGTTGCACAACGGTCCAACTATCGTCGTCTTTTATTCCTTGGCAAATCTATGGAATAATTGGCGCAAAAAAAAACGAAAATTTAGCAAAAAATCATTGAAATCCCCCCAAAAAATATGAAAAATCCAACCTCATAGTATGCCAAATAGCCCTTTTCACGTGTTGCATCGCCTTGTGCGCCAGGTCCGTCAGTTGGTGCTCCGATATCGGTTGATTCTTCGTTCAACAAAGTGTAAGTTCTACCGTAAGTTGGAATTCCGAGAACCAATTTGCTTGGGTCAGCTCCCTCATTGATGTAAAATTTAATACTGTAATCCTATTGAATGAAAAGCCACTCTTTTAACACCAAGTTCTAATCAATTTCAAAGATGAATTATTTGAAAAAAATGCACTAACAATGTTTAATTCCGAATCATAATTATATTCGGATGCTTTTTCAAGTGGAAACAGCGGAGCGTGATGATTAACCGATGGCTCAAATGCGCTATGATAATCATAGGTAAGTAAATTGAACCAATCCAAGTTTTTGTTGAGCTTTGGAATATCGTATCCCTTCTGAATGTATTCAATACCAGCCGGCACTGCCATGGTCAACAGCAATCGTGGTCTTCCGGTTTTTTCCGATTCACGTTCAAACTCTTCTCTCAATTCCTGTACAAATTGAGCGTAATTATTTTTATCACGTGGTTTGCCACCATCTCGGAAAGCTGGATACTCCCAATCCAAATCAAGACCATCAAAGTGATTTTGACGTAAGAATTTCACGGTATTTTTCACGAATTCACGTCGTCGATCAGCGCTGGCAACCATTGATGAGAATCGGCTTGAACCTTCATTCCATCCACCGATAGCCAGAAGCACTTTCAAGTTCTTGTTGTAGGATTTTAATCCAGTGAACTTGGCATAGCCTCCTTTTTCGATATCTTGATACTTATCGAATGGTTTCAATTTGTTGTCCTTAGTAAAGCCGCCAAAAGCATAGATTAAATGCGTACACAAGTATGGATTGATATTCTGTGGACTGAATTTAGCGGTGCCAGGCCGGTATATACTCCAATTTGTGTAGTAACATACAACGCGCCCTTCACTCGTTTGGCCTGTAAAAAATGTGAAAAAAATTTGTAAAAATTTGTTGCTAAACTTGAATAACAACATTTCATCTACATACTTGTTTCGATGGTGGCAGCCAGACTCAGCAGCACCAGAATCCATGAAAATGCTTCTCGCCTTATCTACAATTGAAAAAGAGGAAAAAAAAACATGTTCAAATCAATGTATTCGAAAAATGTTGTGAGCTGTGAAACAACATAGTAGAAAACAAGAGTGACAAACACCCAGTTTTACATGAAATTTAATCAGTTTCCATTTGCGAGATCCGTTTGCATTTGGATGTGTTATAAATATATCAGAATGAGAGAAAAAAAAATCGAAATTGATTTAAAGTGTGCACACACGCTCGTACGCTCTCGCATGCGGTAAGCCCTTTCAATTGAATTTCAAATTGGCATTTCGAGTTGATTTGTTATGCACTTATAGTCCATTAATAGAGCGCAACGAAAGCCTAACCGAATCACAAATTGTGCGAAGCATTAAACAGACCATAAATAATTCGTTTACACAGTGAATTGGCTTTTGCCATTATTTATCCATGTATCTTGTTTTACGATTTTGGATCGCTTTTTTTCATGCTTCTTCTTGTGCCTCATTCAAAAACGCACAAAAGTTTGAAAAGATTTTTTGACGATTATTCGCCTCAACGTACTTTGCCTTCACTCGAGCGCTCTGTTTCTCTCTTGTTGGTTGCGGAATGCGAGCGCGCACGTTCCCAAGCGCTTTTGTTTTCATTTAATTTGTGGTATTGGATGTGCGTTGTGCACGCAAAACAGATACTTTGTTTTCATTTCTATTATCTATTTCAATAACTTGCGATTATTATTGAGTGAATGAATCATGTTCAGAATCGAATGTGAAACGTCATCTCGATGCGAGAGGCGAGAAAGAATAAAATGGAAGTGAAACACACATAAAACGCACGCATTTCACCATCAAAATATAATTTCAAGCGGTAGATCAACAGAAAATGAAATACACGCACACAATCAACGATGCAAAGAAGAAATATAGTGCCAGAATGAAGAGCGAGAGCCCATGCCTTCAATTTAATAACAACAATAATAATAATGTGAGTTTGAAATAGACGTATTTTGTCAGCCATTGAATGCTTTGAATTGCATTTCAATTTGTCGTTTTTGATTCGAATTTCCTCACTTAAATATTCATTAAATTCGCTGGCAGAAAGCAACAGAAGAAAAAACACATACAGAGAATTAGACATCAATTGCGTATGGGCTCTGGTTTGTGCGCGGCTTGTGTCGAACACACACACACACACACCGCATGAAAAGTTCACACGCTAAAGTTTCTAAATAAAAGCGCTAAAATAGATATTGTAAGTGCACTTGGATAGTGTTGAGAAATGCGAGCCAGCCCAACAGCCAACTAACGAACACAGAGTGTACAAGAGTCTAGGCAAAGCCACCTAAAGTTTTAGCATATTATGCGAACCGAACCAAGAGAAGAAAAAAAAAACATTAAACGACGGCAACGGCGACGAACACGAACGAAAAAAATAACAATAACACATAATTGATCTATGAAATCGTACGTTTGTGTCCTAAATTTTCTCGACGCTTATTTCGTATTCGTAGCATGAGTGTGTTTTTTTTCTTTGCTTCATCTCAATTTCAAACCCTTTTTATTCTACGTTCCAGCATAATTACGGTGCTTTGAGCACAGCGAGACACACATTGAAAAGATTAAATCTGTTTTTGACGCGATTTACAAACGAAAGCGAAACTTTGCTTATGACCGCGATGCAACTGCATTGCAATTGAAATGTAGTTCAAATCAATTTCTAAAGCGCACGCACATTGCTTTATTTTCGCTTCTTTCTGCGAACTGTTTTCAGCGCGCATGCAAAACGAGTCTCGTTCCACGGTGTTGAAGGGGAAAAATGGTGAAGTGTGAATCAGAAAACAAGTCCGCAATTTGATGAGATGAGCCGCTTCATTTCTCCGTAGAAGATTTTCCTGTTTTACGCGATTCTATTTCGTGTGATTGGAAGCGGCACGAGGCACTTTCGCTTTGGACGTGTGCCAAGCTTGTTATTGCATATACTAGCGTCTTGTTGTTGTAGTGCCTAGCTTCGATATTTCTTTTGCAAATCGAAAATCACTGTTATTTTATCATTAAATATTTTTTGCATTTTTCTGCTTGATGGACAGAAAAAAAAAATTGAAAAATCTCATTGCAAACCAAACAATTCATTCGTGTTTTAAACAAAAGCGAATTTCATATGGCTTAAGCCACATTTGATTATCTCGTGTTCGGTCACAATTTGACGGCCCGCTTTTTTCTCTCCTCCAAACGCGAAAAAGATTAATAGATTCAAATAGGCACATGGACAGCGATTTGGGACACAAAAAACAGTCGCGATTGCGTTATGTGGCCAATTTTCTTTTGTTTGCTATGAGATAAAGCCAAAGAGTCAACATTCAATGATTTATGTTGACACAAATGAGAATAGACGTTTTTGGTCCAAATTGAAATTAAATCAAATGGCGCATAAATTTGTCATATTTTTACATCGTGTTTACCGTGACTGCAAATGGATGGAGGAAGTGGTGAAGCATACACATTTCTTATTTGGAGCATATTTTGTTCGGTTTTTGTTTTTGGCCATTCCATGGGTGAAATAGTAACAACATAAGAAGAGAGAGAACGTAGAAGAGAAAAAAAACCACTGATGCATGTAATGCCATTTCATAAATTTGATTTTGCTGGTTGGAAACTCGTTGTTGACTTTGAGCAATGTAATTATTTTCGCCTTCGAAAGGTTAAACACATAAAATTGAGCACCGCCGCCACCGCCTCAGCAGCAGCAGCAGCAGCAGAAGCAAACATTTTTATTTGCCTTTCAGTTACATCCGGATAGAGTGAGCTCTATATTCAACGCAAATGATTACAATACAACCATTGTAATCGATTAAAGTTGATTGGAAATACATGATTTTTCGATAATGTCAATTGGTATGTGTCTCGCTCTGTCATCTCAAGCGTTGAACGAATCACGAATAGCGGAGAATTACATAAAAGCCCAAGTCAAGTTGGTTGTACGAAAATTTGTTCCCAAACCAAAAATGAGGTTTAATCTGCCCGAAAACAAAATAACTGTATCATGAGAGCAAACGCTGCCAAAATGCAGTGTCTATCGACAAACGCTTCTGTTTCGATGAAAGTCGCACACAAAACTGGGTTATATAAGACAATTAAATAATATCGGCAGCATAATTCGATTTGTTATCGCTGGCTTTTAATCTGCCGCGTGTTTATTCATTATTACCATGCGAACAAATCGAAACGAACGAATGAGCGAACGGAATTCCATTTGTTTCGATTGCATTCATAAATTTTTTTCACTAATTTTTCCAATTATTTCTTTTCCGTTCGTTGCTCGAAGTTCAACGTCACCCAGCGCTTCTGGCCACAATAGAGAGATAGAGAGAGTATCTTTTTGGTGCGATCTAAACAACAACAACGACAACAAAAAAAAGGTGCTACGGCACAAAACAGACTGCTGTGTGATCAAATCAAGCGTTTAATTGTGAATAAATGGAAGAAATTCTCTTTCTCTCACTTGGCAACGCCGAAGCAAATTTATCTCTCAGCTGCAGCGTTGTGTGTGCGCATGCTGTGACTTTGTTCCTTTCAAAAGCGGCAACCTGTATTTGAATTTATCACAATTTCATCCACTGATAAGCTCGGAGCAACGGCTCAAAGGGATTTTCGCTGATATTATTATGTTTTAATTACACCTTTCCATTGTAAGCAGCATGCGCAGCACAAGATCACCAATTAACGGAACCATGTTATTTATGCATCCAAACGTCACTGCAAAAAAAACACACCAACGAAGCAACGAAAAAAAAGACAAACTGGCGGCGGCGATGATGGCAAACGCCCGCAAAACATAGATATGCAATCGCAACAAAGTATATAGAAATAAAATTACAAATTGATACGCGTTCCGCCTTATTCGACACGGGATAAATTCAGTCAAACTGGTATCAATTGCCATATCATCCAATTCAAGAAGTTTTTCGCTTTCCTCAAGAAATAGTTGCCAAATGAGTTTTTCTCCTCTCTATCTCTGCAGTGCTCGTTTTGCCACCACTTAACATTGGCAATTTTATGGTTAGACTTTTTTTTTGAAAAAAAAAAAGAAATATAAAAAGTTTTCCTTTTGTTTTTTATTCGCTCTCCGTTTTCTTTATGACGACAACAACGTCGTCGACGACGACAGTCATAAAGTGAAATAGTCGTGCTGTTTAAAGAGACTTTTGCGCAAGTAGAAAACCATATAGCGGCTTCAAATAAACGAGACAATTTTTTTGTTGTTTCGTTTGATGTAAAATAATAAATTAAGATGCAATAGAAATTGAACGAAAATCTCGGTGAGATAATTGTGTGATCTACTACTTTCACTGATTTCTGAGAGTGTTCGTAAGCACACACTCTCGAGAGTCAGAAAACCGGCTGCCACGATGACGCTCATTTTCGACTCTTTAAAATGTAAGTCGCGCTCAAGTCAACTATGGATGGAAAGACAAATGCTAACTAGAGAGCGCAAACGCGCGCTCGCAGTGACGACGAAACAGCAAAAGTACCGTAAGCCACGATTTTAGCCAGGCCATTTTTCGATGTTACTCATCGCTGAACTTGCATAACGTCATTAGCAAGAGCATCGTGCAAAAATAGAAACCAATTGTTTTTCGTTTCGTTGTCTTCTTCTGGTTTCGTAGGCGAACTCTAGCTTTAGAATTGACGCTGCAATTTGTCCAATAGAAGATAAATCGAATCAAGGCAATACTTTTGTTTTGTACGTGATGCCGATGCCGGCGACGATGACAGCAGCGGTCGTCGTAACATGCTAATCAAGCAGCCTTCTCGTTGGCCATTGTTTTCACTTCAGTTGATTCCGTTTCGATTGTAACGAAATTTTTCGATTATGTACGGCATATCGTGATTATCGTGAAATGATGCAACTGATGTGCTAAAATCGATCGCTGTTGAAATGATGTGTTCCAGTTCAAAATCTCTTCATCCACTTTTTTCTTCTCTATGCCGGCATCAAGGCATGAAACGGTTAAGTGTGAAATGGTTATTCAATCAT